GCAAACGTACAAAATCAGCAGGGGATCAAATACTTTTTTTCCCTCACTGTACATGTAGCCCCACACCAAGACAATCGCTGCACACAAGTAAATCAAATATAAAAACGAATATTTTAGCAGGTAAGGGCACACTGAGCTCTGTATCTCTTCGTCAGAAGTGACCTGGCCACAAATGATAGCACAACCAAGTGGCTGATATATATATAGCAGTGGCCAAAACCGGAGGATCTGGAGAAAAATCCACGTGACCATGGGGGGGAGCGAGAGAGGAACCACGCAAACTCCAAATAAACAGCAGCAGCAGGCGTCGTCAGGGTCGGGATCGAACCCACGACCTCCTCCACACCAGGCGAGGTAGTTAACATCTCCTAGCCACACATAGTGGCAGGGAACACAAGTGGGTAGTGCAGCACCCGCAATTGCACTTACCATGAACTCAGTGGCACGGAAAGATGAAGTATGCTTGAGAGTGATGGAGCTGGTGGTGGCTGTGTGTGTGTGGGGGGGGGGGGGGGGTTTTTTTATATTCGCAGGAGTTCAGCTGCTGCGTGGTTTCCTCCTCTACTGTATGTCGGAGTACGAGTGCCTGGCCCTGTGCTCTCAAGAGCGGAAAGGGGCTGTAAACACATCAGCACTGGGGGGAGACGAAGGCGGCCGATCGTGGTTAAGCTTACGAGCGCCTGGCCACCCGGGTTCGATTCCCGCTTGCGCTCAGCGTCAGCGACGATTATCTCTGAACCGGTCCTGGGCCTCCTCCTAGGTCGACTCGGCCTCAAATGAGTACCTGGTGGTGCGGTGCGGCGTGTTAAACATCGCCACTGGGGAGACAAAGGCGGCCGGGCGTGGTGCTGGCCACCCCACCTCCTCGTGTGCCGTGTTGGCCAACCCTTCATAGCTGCAACTCGCTTAGCAGCACTTGCCCAGACAGTCTCTTACAGGCTATACGGGGGATCTTTATCTTTGCGCGCGCGTGTGTTTTTGTTGAGACAGACCCCAATTTCCACCATAAACCCGTCGTGTGTAACCGTGCACAGCGCCCAGACCCGCGCTAAACAAACTCCCCCCCCCCCCATAAACCAGGCCTGAAAGTGCTCCAGCCTCGGAGCTAGCGGGGGTCAGAGTTCAAATCCAGTCGCCGTTACGCGACCTCCGATGAGCACGCGGTTGGCTGGCTACGTACGGTGCGAAAGAAGCTGAACGGTGCAATAGCGCACACAGTGAAAACCTCGTTCGTTCGGCATTTGATCATTCGCAAACTGGGGATAATTCGGCACAGCTGCACTTTCGGCACATGTATACAGCAATGGAGTAATTCGCCACAGGCCGAATTGCCGTACCGAATGGTCCAATTTCGGCATGCACGTGGAGCGACCCCGCGCGCCACGACCAAAGCCACGACTCAGTCTGGTGACGGCGTGCGTGGCGAGCATCAGTGCAGACGGTGTCGCGTTGGACTTTGCCTTGTTTATGCACCCTGTGCAAGCCAACCCTCCCAGAAATGTCGTCTACACCCACACGAAGAGGTCATAGAAAGGAACTGAAGTTTGCATCCCCCCCTTAGTCTGCGAGACAAGTCCACATTTCTGGATATAATTGGTGCAGGGCGTGTGCCGATGCGCAGGGCGCGTGAAGAGTTTGGAAAGCAAATTTGGAGTACCATTGTACATAATTCGGAATATTGGATAATTCGGCAAGGCCAGAGCCCCACGTGTGTCGAATTAACAAGGGTTTACTGTGCATCAACTCTGGACTTCATTTTACACCAAGGGATATGTTCGAGCCGGGCCACCAGACTACGTGCTTTTATTTTATTTCAGCAGCCAGCACCACCACATCAAGTATACCCTCTTGCGCTGGCCCCGCGACTGCTAGTGCCGAGGAGTCACACATGCCACTTGCTCCACGGTCTACCCAGCTAGGCCAGAAAAAAATATTCAGTGAGAAGTGAAGCATCCTGTACATTCGTTCATCCGCATAATTCCTGGACGTCTGTGAAAAAAAGAGCTTCATAGCTCATCGGCTTTCCTGCAGTATGAATAAATATTCTGATTCTGAAGTAACCGATTTCACGGGCAAAAATAATTATTCGAATATTTATGTGATTTCGACTCAGATTTTTGTATCGTGCTTTGTTAATCCACTGCTGGATGAAAGAATCCCAAAGCCGTATCGGCGGCCATACTTCACTCCTGCTTGTAAGGTGGTCTCATCGCTCCATCTCCACTGCGGTAGTCCCCTCGGACGCAATCCCTCCTTTGTCTGCAGTTCTGTCACCAGGCTCGCCCGTCGCCCGTCATCGCCTTCTCGTGTACCCCCAGAGTCTTATGTTTATTATTGCAACATTTTTTTAAAATCTGATTTCATTTTTAAGGCCCAAAAATCAACCGTTACGTGATGGTCAATTGGTTTCACACGCGAGGACTGGCTCGGCGCTTCTCCAAGTCTCACGCTGAACAACAATCATAATCTGAATATTTATATTGATCCTGGAGAAATCCTGACGAGCCATGAAGCTTTTTCTTCTTCTTCTTGCAGATGTCCAGCACACGCATCATCGCCCGTTACCAGTGAACTAAGTGACTCCGCACCGAGTGCGGCCGTGAAGTCGCTATGAATGGGCAAAGTCCAACACGGCCGGGTTATTGGTGGAGATTGCAAAGGCGCAGCACCTGCAATTGCCTGCTCACCGCCACTGCTGGCGGAGAGAAGGGGGTCCCCCCCTCCTCCTCCTCCTCTTAGGCGGGAGATGCCGCGACTCCGGCGAGCGGACGGTGCTGAACATTGAGCGATTTGTCTTTACACTGCAGTCAGCAGGCGTGACCTTCAAAATGAACATCCCTGACTTTCAAGCGGCATCCTAAAAATACACATACAGTGTATATACGTATACATACTTAAGGCATATTGATAACGGGAACAATTCCAGATCTACCATTTGGATGCAGTCCCAAAGTAGAAGATCCAGCACCACGATGTACTGCAGAATATGAAGGAGAGTATTTGATCAAAACGCATCGCTTCAATCTGATAATTACTTAGGGAACGTCCGTGGGAACTATGGGCACAGCACGCCACGGAGAGAAGACGGGACGGTGGCCGATGAATGAGATCGGTGATGAGTGGGAGCCACAGGAGAGGGGGAACGCTCGATGCACTGCAGAGATACAGATAGAGATCCATAAACACACGTAGAGACCCACAGACTCGCATAGAGATCCATAGACTCACAGTGACCCATATACTCGCACATAGATCCATAAACCCACCTAGAGATCCATAGACTCGCATTGAGATCCATAAACTCTCATAGACTCGCATAGAGACCCAGACTCACATAGAGATCTATATACTCACACAGATACCCATAGACTCACACAGAGACCCATAGGCTCGCATAGATTCGCATAGAGACACATAGAGATATAGACGCACATAAAGACCCATACTCATGATCTATATACTCACACAGAACAGCTGATCACCACCTCACCGACCACCATAACTATTATCACCACCTTACTATCACCACAAGCACCACTCAAATAAAATCCACCAGCCACTCAACAAAAATTAACTTCATGATACCACGAGCAGCACTACTATCTGAATCTACAACTACCACCACCACTATCATCAATACCCCAACCATTAACATCACCACAACTACCTCCGCAAACATCACCAGCGTCATCGTTACCCTGAACATCACCACCACCACAATAATTTTCATCACCACAACTACCCTACCATTACCACCTCTAAAACCATCAACACGGCCATCACTGCCGACACAACCACCACCGCCATCGGAGGTTCCAGCATCATTTGGTCGCCTCCACTCACCACTCTGCCTCCACTCACCATGAGCCAGGCCACACTGCTGTCACCTCACCCACACACACACACCTCACCACCACCCCACACTGCTGTCACGATGTCACCTCACCCACCTCACCACCACCCCACACTGCTGTCACGATGTCACCTCACCCACACACACGCACCCCTCACCACCACCCCACACTGCTGTCACCAAAGACAAAGATCCCCCGTATAGCCTTTAACAGACTGTTGGGGGTGCACGCGCTGTTCGCGAGTGAGCACCAACAGAGGCCGGCACAGCGCTTGCACGAGATTGGGGAATGGGTTGGGTAGATGGGTATACAGGAGGTCGTGGGTTCGATACCGACACTGACGCCTGCTGCTGTATATTTGGAGTTTGCGATGTCTCGCTCTCTCATCATCATCACGGTGGCTAGATGTTAACTACCTCGCCTGGTACACAGGAGGTCGTGGGTTCGATCCCGACACTGACGCCTGCTGCTGTATATTTGCGATGTCTCGCTCTCTCATCATCATCACGGTGGCTAGGAGATGTTAACTACCTCGCCTGGTATACAGGAGGTCGTGGGTTCGATCCCGACACTGACGCCTGCTGCTGTATATTTGGAGTTTGCGATGTCTCGCTCTCTCATCATCATCACGGTGGCTAGGAGATGTTAACTACCTCGCCTGGTACACAGGAGGTCGTGGGTTCGATCCCGACACTGACGCCTGCTGCTGTATATTTGGAGTTTGCGATGTCTCGCTCTCTCATCATCATCACGGTGGCTAGGAGATGTTAACTACCTCGCTTGGTATACAGGAGGTCGTGGGTTCGATCCCGACACTGACGCCGCATTTAGAATAAACACCACGCGTTTAGAGTATTTGCCTGCTGCTGTACATTTCCACGCGATGACGATGATGACGACGATGATAAGCCACCAACTTCGTTGAGCTATCATTTGTGATGCCCAGTTCGCTTCTGAAAAGGAGCTGGTAAATAAATAAATAAAATGGTTTCGTTTTTACAGATGGGGAGATCGGGGTGGGGAAGACGTGGGTTGCTGGCTTGGGTGGATGAATGTATGGGTGGGGGGGCCAGAACCACCGCCACCCCCGCGCCCGGCCGCCTTTGTCTCCCCCCACCCACCCAAATTAAAAACCAAAGACCTCACCGTAACGGAGGCCACGTTGCTGTCCGCCAGCACGATGTGGTGCGCCTCCCAGCGCCGCAGCAGCCTCAGGCCGAGTCCGTGGCGCACGACCGCGGATCGCGCGTGCCGGATGGCGCACACCTGCACGTCGCCCTCGTGCAGCAGCTTGAAGCGAGAGCCCGAAGCGGCGCACTTCCATCGCTTCCCGCTCGGAGCTCCGCCGACGTCCCCCACCTCCATGGGGGGCGGAGATCGGCGGGGGGGGTGGGGGCGGAAAAAGAGGGGGGTCGCGGCCCCCCTCCTCCCACCCCTCCCTGGCTATGGGGTGGAGTGGCTGTGTGGTGGTGGTGGTGTGGGTGGAGGTTGAAGTGTGTGGCGCCTTCTCTCTCCGGCAGCCGTTTGCTTGCGCCGAGGGCTGCAGCTGCAGCGGCGACGTGAGCCGCCTTGTTTGGTTGTGCTGTGTGCGTGGACCTTCTTTCGCACCGTACGTGGCCGACCGTGCTAATGGGAGGGTGGGTGTTTCTGGTGGTGGTAGCGGGACGGGCTACCCACGGCACCCAGCTCGCAGACGGTGAATCCGAGGTCCCCAGATCTCGACTCTGTCGACGTTGCTCCCCTCCGACTCGGGATTTGTTTTCCCAGTTTGTTCGTGTCCGTTCGACTCGACGTGTTTTGGAGTTCGTCCTCTTTATTATTTAATCCCGATGTAGGCTCCGATTCTGGGTCACACGCGCCCACACACCACCACCACCACCGCCGCCACCACAACTCTCTCTGATCCGGATCGGATCGTTCTTCAGCTCCGCAATGTGTTTTTTTTTTATATCCCTCCGATATCAAATCCGATTTAAAGTCCCGGTTTATCTCGCCGTGATCCGCGTCTTCCTCCTCCGCTGCTCCTTCTTGGCTTCCAGCACCAAGACCCGGAGTGGATCCCAGCACAACCAGCACCACCACCACCACCACCCCAACCACCTCTTCCTTACGGCTGCTTGACAAACCACCTCAACTACCACCACCGCCTCCTCCTCCTGCGCGTCCTTCCACCGAGACCCCGGGCAGCGACGTGGTCGAGGCTGTGGGGTGGGACAGGCGAGAAGGCATGATGATGATGATGGTGGTGTTGTTCATGATGATTATGACCAGAGATGATCAAAGAGGGACGAGATGATGATGATGATGATGACGAGGAGATGGCGATGATATAATGAGAGATGAACAGAGAAGAAATGGGGAGATCGTGATCATGACGAGAGGTGTTGATTAAACATGACGAAAATGGAGAAATTAATGATGATGAGAGTTAATTATCAAACGAGGACGACGATGAGATGAAGAGAGGAGACATTACGAATATGGTGATGAGAGATGAACGTAGGAGGGGCGTGATGGTGATGATAAATAATCAAAGATGTAGACAGAGAGGGGCAGATGATGATGATGAAAGATGTTAAGAGATGAACAGATAAGCCGATGGATATAATGAAAGATAATAACGGATAATTTGATGATGGCCATCATTATGACGAAATCGCGAATCGAGAAGATTATAACGACGAGATATGTGGACGTGAGATGGACAGATAAATACGATGATGACTAATCGGTGATACGCACATAGGGAGAGAGTCTACGACCACGGTGATGACAACTCAGCAACCACCAGGGACTATGCCAGTGACATGGAACGTACGCACCGGTTCAACAACAAAAAAAACGACTGAAGCTTACCTCCCTTTGCGTCTTCCTTTGTGCTGCTACTGCTGCTGCCTTGAGGTGGTGATGATGGTGGTGGTGATGGTAGGTGTGTGTGTGTGTGGGGGGGGGGAGGTCGGTGTCTCAGCGTAAATCTTAGCAGAAGCGGCGTTCCGTCTCCCGATTGACGGATGTCCCCGTCGTTTCTCTGCGAACGGCGAACCTCCAGCAGCAGCACCACCACCACGGTCTCAGCACAGACGACGCCGCCGCCGCGGCTCGCGTCAATGAAGATTCGACGGAGATTTAACAACAACAAAAAAACCGCTGAGCCGTGCCGATGCTGCTGCTGATGATGATGCTGCTGCTGATGATGATGCTGCTGCTGCTGCTGATGATGGTTATTGCTGCTTGCGCGCGACAACAAGGCATATGGTTCGGAAGGTGAAGGCGCGGCACGGGCAACAACAACAACAATAACAAAGGGGGGAGCTTGAGGCTCTCCCGACAGCGCAGGAATAAGAGCGGCGGGCTTCTGGTGAGCGCGGGGCGCGGAGTGGAAGGAGAGCGAGCGGGAGAGAAGGGGGAGGCGCGGAGGGAGGGGGAGGGAGGGAGGGGTAGGGAGGGAGGGGGAGGGGTAGGGAGGGGTAGGGGTAGGGAGGGAGGGGTAGGGTAGGGAGAGGGAGGGGTAGGGAGGGGAGCAAAGATAAACTCTTGACCAGCGGCGGTGACGTCAAACGGGGAGCTGGGGCTGGCGGTCGCGAGTGCGTGGGTGGGGTGGTGGTGGTGGGGAGTGCAAATGAGAGGTGTGTGTGTGTATGTAGGAGTTGGTGTGTGTGTATGTAGGAGTTGGTGTGTGTATGTAGGAGTTGGTGTGTGTGTATGTAGGAGTTGGTGTGTGTGTGTAGGAGTTGGTGTGTGTGTATGTAGGAGTTGGTGTGTGTATGTAGGAGTTGGTGTGTGTGTGTGTGTGTAGGAGTTGGTGTGTGTGTAGGAGTTGGTGTGTGTGTATGTAGGAGTTGGTGTGTGTGTAGGAGTTGGTGTGTGTATGTAGGAGTTGGTGTGTGTATGTAGGAGTTGGTGTGTGTGTATGTAGGAGTTGGTGTGTGTATGTAGGAGTTGGTGTGTGTGTATGTAGGAGTTGGTGTGTGTGTGTAGGAGTTGGTGTGTGTGTATGTAGGAGTTGGTGTGTGTGTGTAGGAGTTGGTGTGTGTGTATGTAGGAGTTGGTGTGTGTATGTAGGAGTTGGTGTGTGTGTGTAGGAGTTGGTGTGTGTGTATGTAGGAGTTGGTGGGTGTGTGTAGGAGTTGGTGTGTGTGTGTAGGAGTTGGTGTGTGTGTATGTAGGAGTTGGTGTGTGTGTATGTAGGAGTTGGTGGGTGTGTAGGAGTTGGTGTGTGTGTAGGAGTTGGTGTGTGTGTGTGTAGGAGTTGGTGTGTGTAGGAGTTGGTGTGTGTGTAGGAGTTGGTGTGTGTGTGTAGGAGTTGGTGTGTGTGTATGTAGGAGTTGGTGTGTGTAGGAGTTGGTGTGTGTGTAGGAGTTGGGGTGTGTGTAGGAGTTGGTGTGTGTGTATGTAGGAGTTGGTGTGTGTGTATGTAGGAGTTGGTGTGTGTGTGTAGGAGTTGGTGTGTGTGTGTAGGAGTTGGTGTGTGTAGGAGTTGGTGTGTGTATGTAGGAGTTGGTGTGTATGTAGGAGTTGGTGTGTGTGTATGTAGGAGTTGGTGTGTGTGTATGTAGGAGTTGGTGTGTGTGTATGTAGGAGTTGGTGTGTGTATGTAGGAGTTGGTGTGTGTGTATGTAGGAGTTGGTGTGTGTGTGTAGGAGTTGGTGTGTGTATGTAGGAGTTGGTGTGTGTGTATGTAGGAGTTGGTGTGTGTTTATGTAGGAGTTGGTGTGTGTGCGTAGGAGTTGGTGTGTGTAGGAGTTGGTGTGTGTATGTAGGAGTTGGTGTGTGTGTGTGTGTAGGAGTTGGTGTGTGTGTATGTAGGAGTTGGTGTGTGTGGGAGTTGGTGTGTGTAGGAGTTGGTGTGTGTATGTAGGAGTTGGTGTGTGTGTATGTAGGAGTTGGTGTGTGTGTGTAGGAGTTCGTGTGTGTGTATGTAGGAGTTGGTGTGTGTGTATGTAGGAGTTGGTGTGTGTGTATGTAGGAGTTGGTGTGTGTGTAGGAGTTGGTGTGTGTATGTAGGAGTTGGTGGGTGTATGTAGGAGTTGGTGTGTGTGTGTAGGAGTTGGTGTGTGTGTGTGTAGGAGTTGGTATTTGTGTATGTAGGAGTTCGTGTGTGTGTGTAGGAGTTGGTGTGTGTGTGTAGGAGTTGGTGTGTGTAGGAGTTGGTGTGTGTATGTAGGAGTTGGTGTGTGTAGGAGTTGGTGTGTGTGTAGGAGTTGGTGTGTGTGTATGTAGGAGTTGGTGTGTGTGTATGTAGGAGTTGGTGTGTGTGTGTAGGAGTTGGTGTGTGTGTGTAGGAGTTGGTGTGTGTAGGAGTTGGTGTGTGTATGTAGGAGTTGGTGTGTATGTAGGAGTTGGTGTGTGTGTATGTAGGAGTTGGTGTGTGTGTATGTAGGAGTTGGTGTGTGTGTATGTAGGAGTTGGTGTGTGTATGTAGGAGTTGGTGTGTGTGTATGTAGGAGTTGGTGTGTGTGTGTAGGAGTTGCTGTGTGTATGTAGGAGTTGGTGTGTGTGTATGTAGGAGTTGGTGTGTGTTTATGTAGGAGTTGGTGTGTGTGCGTAGAAGTTGGTGTGTGTAGGAGTTGGTGTGTGTATGTAGGAGTTGGTGTGTGTGTGTGTGTAGGAGTTGGTGTGTGTGTGTAGGAGTTGGTGTGTGTGTATGTAGGAGTTGGTGTGTGTGCGTAGGAGTTGGTGTGTGTAGGAGTTGGTGTGTGTATGTAGGAGTTGGTGTGTGTGTATGTAGGAGTTGGTGTGTGTGTGTAGGAGTTCGTGTGTGTGTATGTAGGAGTTGGTGTGTGTGTATGTAGGAGTTGGTGTGTGTGTATGTAGGAGTTGGTGTGTGTGTATGTAGGAGTTGGTGTGTGTGTAGGAGTTGGTGTGTGTATGTAGGAGTTGGTGGGTGTATGTAGGAGTTGGTGTGTGTGTGTAGGAGTTGGTGTGTGTGTGTGTAGGAGTTGGCATTTGTGTATGTAGGAGTTCGTGTGTGTGTGTGTGTGTAGGAGTTGGTGTGTGTGTGTAGGAGTTGGTGTGTGTAGGAGTTGGTGTGTGTATGTAGGAGTTGGTGTGTGTAGGAGTTGGTGTGTGTGTAGGAGTTGGTGTGTGTGTATGTAGGAGTTGGTGTGTGTGTATGTAGGAGTTGGTGTGTGTGTGTAGGAGTTGGTGTGTGTGTGTAGGAGTTGGTGTGTGTAGGAGTTGGTGTGTGTATGTAGGAGTTGGTGTGTATGTAGGAGTTGGTGTGTGTGTATGTAGGAGTTGGTGTGTGTGTATGTAGGAGTTGGTGTGTGTGTATGTAGGAGTTGGTGTGTGTATGTAGGAGTTGGTGTGTGTGTATGTAGGAGTTGGTGTGTGTGTAGGAGTTGGTGTGTGTATGTAGGAGTTGGTGTGTGTGTATGTAGGAGTTGGTGTGTGTTTATGTAGGAGTTGGTGTGTGTGCGTAGGAGTTGGTGTGTGTAGGAGTTGGTGTGTGTATGTAGGAGTTGGTGTGTGTGTGTAGGAGTTGGTGTGTGTGTGTGTAGGAGTTGGTGTGTGTGTATGTAGGAGTTGGTGTGTGTGCGTAGGAGTTGGTGTGTGTAGGAGTTGGTGTGTGTATGTAGGAGTTGGTGTGTGTGTGTGTAGGAGTTGGTGTGTGTGTGTAGGAGTTGGTGTGTGTGTGTAGGAGTTGGTGTGTGTGTGTGTAGGAGTTGGTGTGTGTGTGTAGGAGTTGGTGTGTGTGTGTATGTAGGAGTTGGTGTGTGTGTAGGAGTTGGTGTGTGTGTGTGTGTGTTGGAGCTGGGGAGTGTGTGTAGGAGTTGGTGTGTGTGTGCGTAGGAGTTGGGGTGTGCGTAGGAGTTGGGGGGTGTGTGTAGGAATTGGGGTGTGTGTGTAGGAATTGGGGTGTGTGTGTAGGAGTTGGGGAGTGTGTGTAGGAGTTGGTATGTGTGTGTAGGAGTTGGGGTGTGTGTGTAGGAGTTGGTGTGTGTAGGAGTTGGGGTGTGCGTAGGAGTTGGTGTGTGTGTAGGAGTTGGGGTGTGTGTGTAGGAGTTGGGGTGTGTGTATAAGTTGATGTGTGTGTAGGACTTGGTGTGTGTGTAGGAGTTGGTGTGTATAGGAGTTTGTGTGTGTGTAGGAGTTGGTGTGTGTGTAGGAGTTGGGGTGTGTGTGTAGGAGTTGGTGTGTGTGTAGGAGTTGGGGTGTGTGTGTAGGAGTTGGGGTGTGTGTATGAGTTGGTGTGTGTGTAGGAGTTGGTGTGTGTGTAGGAGTTTGGGTGTGTGTGTAGGAGTTGGGGTGTGCGTGTATGAGTTGGTGTGTGTGTAGGAGTTGGGGTGTGTGAGTAGGAGTTGGGGTGTGTGTAGGAGTTGGTGTGTGTGTAGGAGTTGGGGAGTGTGTGTAGGAGTTGGTGTGTGTGTAGGAGTTGGGGAGTGTGTGTAGGAGTTGGTGTGTGTGTAGGAGTTGAGGAGTGTGTGTAGGAGTTGGTGTGTGTGTAGGAGTTGGTGTGTGTGTAGGAGTTGGTGTGTGTATGTAGGAGTTGGTGTATGTAGGAGTTGGTGTGTGTGTAGGAGTTGGTGTGTGTGTAGGAGTTGGTGTGTGTGTAGGAGTTGGTGTGTGTGTAGGAGTTGAGGAGTGTGTGTAGGAGTTGGTGTGTGTGTAGGAGTTGGTGTGTGTGTAGGAGTTGGTGTGTGTGTAGGAGTTGAGGAGTGTGTGTAGGAGTTGAGGTGTGTGTAGGAGTTGGTGTGTGTCGGAGTTGGGCGTGGCACGGGCTAGAGAGGAGATGGAGTGATGTGGTACAGGAGGATGTGGAGCTGAGTGGATGACTGGTACCAGCGGTGTCAAGATCAGCCTCTGTGGAGGAGGCTCGTGAAGGACGCTGCTGCTACTGGGCAGTGCCAGGCTAGGTGCACCGTGAGGCTACTGGGCAGTTGGAGGCAGTGGCCCTCCAACAACAACGGAGGGGGGAGGAGCGACGCTCACAACAACGAGCGGAGCGTCGGGTGGCTAAAGCACAGCAAGTTGGCACAGTAGGGGGCACAGGTGGTGCATCAGCCAGTCATCTCAGTCAGTCAACCCGTGGCACCTGGGTCTGCCCCGTGACCTCCTGCCAGCGGGCGTTCGACACTTCACGTGGCCTCAACGTGCACGTAGCCTGGCACAATCGCCGTGATGACGTCGCCGCCACTTAGTAGCGAATGGCGGTTGTTATTGTTGTGTTGGTCCACTCAAATGCAGCAAGTTGGCACGGTAGCGGGTACAATCTGGTGGTGCATCTACCGGTCATCTCAGCCAACCCATGCCGCCTGCTGGGTTGGCTGTCCCGAGACCTCCTCCTGTCAGCAGCGAGCCTTCGACACTTCACGTGGTAGCTTCAACGTGCACGTAGCCTGGCACGGGCGCCGTGGAGACGTCACCGTCACTTCGACCTGATAGCGGTGTCGCGAACATCGTCACTCAGGAGACAAAGGCGGCCGAGGGCGGTGCCGGACTTCATAGGTTGCCGCTCAACTCGCCAAACAGCACTTGCCCCGACAGTCTGTCGGGAGGCTACACGGGTGACCTTTGGTGCGATGGGCGTCTTGTGGGTGGTGAGCGGTAGTGTAGAAGGTAGCGACAGCACGCCGAGCTACCAAATCCGATGACTGGGAGGGCTTCGATTCCCGCTCACGACAAACCAATCACAGTGGCCAATGGAGTATTTGAATATCGATCGTGGGCATCCCCTAGGTCGACTCGGCCTTAACATGAGTAACATCAGCACTGGGGAGACAAAGGCGGCCGGGCGTGGTGCCGGCCACCCACCCCCGTCACGTGCTGTGCCGGCCTCCATAGGTGCACTTGCCTCAACAGGCTGTTAAAGGCTATACGGGGGACCTTTGTCTTTGTGCGAGTCACTGAGCGGGGGAGGGGGGTATGATGGAGAGTGCGTGTGCGTGGGAGTAAGTTGCCTGTGTGTGCACGTCTAAATAAAGATTCTGATTCTGTACGTGGGGTGTGGGATTGCCTCTCTGTGTATTTGTGGAGCTGCAGGAGGAGTGTGTTTGTGAATTTAAGGTGGTGTTTTGGGTGCGCGCACGTGTGTCATGACGCCGGCCTTCAGAGGGTGCTCACTAACAGCATCCCCCCTCCCAAAGTCTTTTAAGGCTGTCAGGGACATCCGTGTCTTTGTCGGGGTGTATAAGTGTGGACGTGCGCGCGTGTGTGTATAATAGGTGCTCGCTAACAGCATTTGCCCCAAGTCTGTTCAGGCTATACGGGGGATACTCTTTGTTTTTTTTTCGGTAAAGTCACGTAGGTAAAACGAAATTAAAATAAAAAAACACAACTAAATCAAATCACGACGTTTCGGAGGCAACACAAGCTTCCGTCTTCAGGTGGAACAGTCACAGCAAGATAGCTGCATCAAGATAGCTGCAGCTATCTTACTTTATCGAAAAAACCAAAGAGTATGAATCCTTGCAGTCACGAAAGCTTCAAATTCTAGAATATACGGGGGATCTTTGTGTATAAAGATCCTCGCTAACAGAGCACTTTGCACCAACAGTGTGGGGAAAAAACAGACGATGAGGCGAATCTTTTGTCTTGCCCGGCGACAGATTGTGCGTGTTTAGGAGTGGATACGTCGGCGTGTGTGGATGTAGGCGCGTGTGTGTGGATGTAGGCGCGTGTGTGTGTGTAGGGGCTGTGTGACCCGTGGCACCTGCTAGGTCTGGCCCCCGTGACCTCCTGCCAGCGGGCGTTCGACACTTCACGTGGCCTCAACGTGCACCTAGCCTGGCACAAGCGCCGTGGTGACGTCATCGCCACTTCGTGGCGAATGGCGGTTGTTGTTATTGTTGTCTGCAGAATTTCCATTGGACAATACAAGTGACCATGATCGGGTTTGTTTAACGCGTTGTAGGCCTTCGCGACCGATATTATTCATCAAAAAGGGGTTTCGGGGTTAGATCGCGTAAGTTTAAATGTTGTGTAGTAATCCTCCACCACCCGACACAGCCAATTAGTAAGGGATTTGTCACGTAAACAAAACGCCAATTAGTTCAAAGCGATAAATGCGTGCCCAAGCCACTGCACCACCACTCTCCTGGGTTCCAGTTCGGTCACGGAACAACACCAGTGACCCATCATCTCAACCTATCGTGGGCCTCCCCTAGGTCGACTCAGCCTCAAATGAGTACCTCGTGCGGTGTGTAAACATCGCCACTGGGGAGACAAAGGCGGTCTGGCGTGGTGCTGGCCACCCATCCCCTCGCGTGCCATTCCAGCCTTCATAGGTGCTCGCTAACAGCACTTGCCCCAACAGTCCAAGGCAACACGGGGTATCTTTATCTTTGTATGTAGCGCATAAGTTGTTTAGGAATGTTTGCGTGCGAGGGAGCGGTGGTGCCACGGTTGGCGCACTGGCGACCAGTTCCTATTCACGACAGCGGAGAATGCATCAATCAGTCCTCGGCACTCCCGTATAGGTTGACTTTGCATTAAAATGCGAGACATAAACGGGCCGGGTGTAGTTCTTGCCCCCCCCCCCCCCCCACCAAAAGCCTTGTGGAGGCTACACGGGGGATCTTTGTATGTGCAAGTCGTAGTAGGTGTGGCTTGGCCGTGTGGTTTGGCCTGCTCAGCCAGCCGAAGAGAGCTGCGCGTTCTCAAATCTGCTCTGCCGCGGAAATGTCCTTTGGTTGCCAGCGCTCTCTCGATGTTCCTTTTCAATCGAGACAATGGGAGGGCGTGGTGGCGAATGTTCGCCGTTCGTCATAGGTAATATCACCATCAGTAAAAGCGGAACATCGTCAGTTATAGCAGAATTATCGTGGGTAGCCATGTATCATCATCATCGATAATTGATCATCATTCGCAGCAGAAACGAGCGAAGTTCTTCATGAGAATGACCAGCAGCAGCAGCCCAGGACATGTGGAAGATGGCTCGCAATCATTACGTTTGTCAGGGCCTATTTAAGAAATATAATCTTTGTCTTTCCATTGCCAACACCTACGTTGAATTTATTCCCCACCAAATAGATGTTTTTTTTTTAATATACAGCTGCTTGAAATATATACTGAATGTACGAAATGTGTACAATTTATATTCCCAAATTATCCGATCCATTTTACAAAATAGAAATAACAGAATGCTTTTTGCTCACAACATAGCCATCATTTTATAGTTTTCTGCTGACAAGTTAGCCGTGTCGTTTTAAAAACAAACTTGGAAGCAATAAAAATATATATATAAAATTTTAGGTTTAAAAAAATGGCATGACGTACCTGTCTTGAATACAACAAAACATTTAAAAGGATAGGAAAAGTACGGAAAAAATGTAAAGATTACAAATATAGCATTTAAATAAAATTTAATTGGTAGAAAAAGGTTTATTTTGTATCACAAAGCTAGCAATTTTGTATTTTAAAAAATGTGAAAATGATGCTGCGTGCACACTGTCATAATAATTTATAGCCCTTTCTCAATCCACTCCTGGATGAAAGCCTCCCCCACACCACCATGTCAAACTACACACCACCTCCACCATGTGGATCATGGTGCGGGTGGTGTGACAATACTTTCACCACGGGTGTGGTTTGGCCCGGTATCGGTGACGAGAACGCACTCGCTAGCAACGATACCTGTGTAGCCAGAAATCAAACCCTAGGTCACGGAGTTCACAGTGGAGTGCTGCGAACGGCTACTGCGCCACCACCGCTCCCCCACAAAGTGCACGCGCGTGGTGTTTTGTCCCACCCATCCCTCCTCCGTGTGCCACGGCGAAGGCCGGCCTTCATGGAGGTGCGAAACTCCTCGCCGACGCCACTTTTGCCTCGTTACGAGGCAACGCGGGCAACCCCTTTGTGTCTCTCTTTGTAATGTACGACACGGAAGAAAATAAAACTACGCACACCGTTAAAATAAATGTAGACAATATTTACTTTAGAGCAAAAAATTATTGAAAATAAAGAATCTTAGTTATTAGGATATTTTTTTCTTATAAAATGCATACAAGACTCGTATATATATATCTCACACTCCCGACTCTCAGTTCGCGTGCCGCTGGTTCAAAGTTCTATTAAAATACCACTTCTCAAATTCTCATTTATAAACACCACATGTATTAAAGTCCTCGCCTCGTATTTACACACACACACATACACACAATGTACAACGCGCGCACGCGGGCAGTGGAGGGGGCGTAAGGGGGGGGGGGGGGCCCTCTTACTACACAAGAACGAGCCCTCTTTTTTTCCTGACGGCACACACACGCACACACACAGGTCAAGTGCAATTGTTTTTCATTTCCTTTCCCTCCGCAGGTCGTGTACACGCGTTGCCTGCAAGCGGGGACACGAGTCTCCACGCCGCGAGCGACACGAACCGGTGCATGTGTAAAAAATAAAAAAGAACACAAACGCACCAGATGGACACGCGTGCACGCACGCACAAACAAACAAGACCTCTGGCGATAAAAAAAAAACCTCGCGCCGTGTCGACCGCGCGCGATTATAGCGTCGGAGGGGTGCTGGTAGGCGGTGGGGAGGGGGGGTTGGGCACCGATGGCGGTGACTCGGGGGTGGCGGTTCGAGGCAGGCCCCCCCTTTCTCCACCCTCGCCACAATTCATTGGTTCTGTGGGGTGAGGGGGGGGGTGGCTACGTGTGTACGGAAGGGAGCCCTTCGGTAAGAACCGCGTTTTTTGCGAGCTGCCTCAATTTGGCATCTCGCGGTCGATTGGTTAGTGGGGGGGGGGTGGTCTGGTCGTTGTTGTCGTTCGGTCATTTGTCAGCCGTTAGTCCGGTCGGCCGGTCGTTCGTTCGATGGGTCATGTAGGTCAAACGGTTGGCGGGGGGGGGGGGGGCGCGCACAGTTGGCGAGTCGCTCCGCCGGTCATTCGTTTGGTCGGCAAGTCGGTCATTCGCTCTCTCGCAAGAGCGGTCGGTGGGTCAGTCAATTCGGTCGTTCCTCGAGTCACGTTCCACGTGTCGGTGCGGTCCCGGGTTGACCAGTGCGAGCAACTGGCGTCCGTCTGCTCTCTCTCTCTCTCTCTCCTTGAGCCGAGGCGACGTGCACGTCGGCCCTCGTCATCCTCGCAAGCCGTCCCGAGCCGTCCGCCGCCGTGCAAGTCAAACTTCCGCTCCAAGCGGAGAGGAAGGGCCGAAAACACCGACCGCGGCCCGGTCCGGTCCCCGCCAAACCGGGAGGTAGACCCGGTTAGACTCCAGCACCCGGGGCGCTCCGTTCCACCTTCGGTGGCGTCGGGGGGGGGGGAGGGGGTGCGCTCGGCCTCCGGTCTCTCTGTCTCTCTCTCTGCCCCCACCCCCCTCGTCGGCGGCCCGAGACGTGAAGCGAGCGTCACTTGAGCTGCGCGCGGTACAGCACGAGCGAGTGCGCCGTCTCGCGATCTTGTTCCAGCAAGAAGACGAGGTCGCGCAGGTTGACCCTCGTGAAGCGCGCTCGCTGCGACGGTCTCGTCGGCGTGCCCGGCACCCCGCCGCCGCCGCCGCCGCCGCCGCCGCAGCCGCCGCCGCCGCCGCCGGGCCCCGCGACGGCCGCGGCCGCCCCCCCGCCGCTGCCTCCCGCCGCGCCGGCGCCGCCGGAAGACGAAGCGCCGGGCCCCCCACCCCCGGCCTGGAGAGACGGAGGTAAAATATCACTCGCGTGTCCCTACCACCGCCGCCGCCGCCGCATGTAGCGCGCGTACGCCGCGACCGTGCGAATCGCTCGGAAGCGACGGCGCGTCGGTACGAGACATAATGCCTTGCCCACGAGTAGACCCCCGAGCTGATCCGCTGCTGGATGGAGGCTTCCCCCCCACGGCCGTGTGGCTCCGTGGGAGTCGTTTGACCATACCTCACCACGCCAGTCTCAGTGCGGGCTGCCAAAGTCAGGCGGAGCCCAGGACCAGTTAAGATTCCACTCGCCAATGACCCGAGCCGTGGCCGGTAAATCCAACTCAGGGATCGCCGGGTTCGCAGCGCATTTGCCAACGAATGCTTCAACAAAATATAGTTTTATAGCTTTAATATTTACTTTATGTATGCGTGGGAAGGAAATGAGAGTTTCCGGGGGGGGGGGGGGGAAGGGGGGACAAACACCCACTGCGATGGTTTTGTTGGGTCAAACTGAACCCTCACCTCGGACAAATCCACCCAAACGATTCTGCACTGCCTCCCGCAGGTTCGCCTTGTACGAACGCTGCGAGGCCAACGCACGAACGTGGAACTAGGCAGTGGGCTGAGGAGAGACTGCCGCTGCGCTACCGAAGGTTGGCAGCGATTGGGGTGAGGTCGGATGGCGAATATGAATGCAGGGTCACCGAGACCCGCGCGAGCAGAGATGGCGGTACGGACGGCGTAGAGATTTGACTCCGATTGGAGACTGTGAGCCGGCACCGACCGCTGAGATCCCGAGCTTCGAGTCCGGATTTGAGCTGCCCAACCGTGAAAAAAAACCGGGTTTCTCAAGTGCAGTGTGTTGTAGGGGGCACAGGCGGTGCATCTTGCCAGCCACCTCAGTGTGTCAACCCACGACACCTGGGTCTGTCCCTTGATCTCCTGCCGGCGGGCGTTCTACACTTCACGTGGCCTTAAAGTGGTACATAGCCTGGCAAAAGCGCCGTGGTGACGTCACCGCCACATAGTGGCGAATGGCGGTTGTTGTTGTTGTTGCATGTGTACAATTATTTGCGCGCGTGTGTACGCGTCTGTGTTTAGTAGGGAGCACAGGTGGTGCATCGGCCAAGTCATCTCAGTGCGTCAACCCACGGCACCTGGGTCTGTCCCGTGACCTCCCGCCAGTGGGCGTTCCGACACTTGACGTGGCCCTAAAGTTCGCACAGCCTGGCACAAGCGCTCTGGTAAAGTCACCGACACCTTAGTGGCTATTGGCGGTTGTTGTTGTTGTTGCGTGTACTACAGTGGGGAGGTTTGGCGTATCGTTTAGCTCGCGGGGCAATAAAAATCCGGCGAACCGAATTCCATTCCCACTCACAGTCAAAATCAGTGACGAATTTCTGAACCTGTCCTGCGCCTCCCATAGGTCGACACAAACGAGTACCTGGTGCGATGAGTAAACATCAGCACTGGCCGGGTGGCAAAGGGTGCCGGGCAGGGTGCTGACCACAGCACTTGCCCCAACAGCCTGTTAAGGCTCCATGGGAGGGGGGATCTTTTGTCTTTGTACACGCGTGACGGTGCGAGTTGCACGCTCCCCCCCACCTCCCCCGGCGTGCCCGGCCCTGGCGAGTCGAGTTTCCGCTTCTTGCGTGGCCCAATTGCCGCGAGCGCCGTCAGGTTCGCTTCCCGCTGGCGCATCTGAGCCAGCTCCGCTTGCTGCATCTATGGGCGAGGGAGGGGAGGGAGACAAAGGCAGACGGGTCAGGAGGAAGGGGGGGCATTTGTGCGAGTCTGGTGGTGGTGTCGGTCACTCGTTGAAAGCCGCCACCGTCGCGCTGCGACCGCTGCGACCTCGGCCGGGCGGCGGTAGTTTGTAAGCCAGCCGCTGGCCGCAAGGGTCGGTGGATCATCCCGTGGGCATCAAGGTGCCGTACACCATGGCTCGCCAGGAGAACGCGGTACGGAAAATTGCGGACGAGTATCACCCGTCCCTTCCGTGTTGCCCCCTCGTGCGTACGAATTGTGTCCGGGTGTGGTGCCGGCCACCACACACCCCCCCCCCCCACCGTTGCATGCAGTGCCAGCCTTCAAAAAGGCGCTCGCTAACAGCACTCGCCCCTAAAGTCTGTTAAGGCTATACGGGGGATCTTTATACCTCTTTTGCTTTCTGCTTGAGCCGGGCTTGTTCTGGGTCCTCTTGTCGAGACCGACTCTGCAGACAGAGAGGGAGACAGAGGGAGAGACACGGACAGAGACGGAGCACCAGGGTGAGAGACCCAGCGTCGTGTGCAAGCGACACCCAAGTCGACGTCACCTCGTGTGACCTCGACGTTCAAACGACCCCGACCTTGACCCCGTAAGGCCCGATGCCAGGACCGCTCCTGGGTCAGCCGAGTGGCTGGACGTTTCACACACACACTTTACACATATATAAGCGCGCAACTTTATTTATCTGTGACGAACGCTGCACTTTCCGTCGTTTTCACGCAGGGGGCGCTGCAGACCTACGCGCGCCCCCCCTTGCATGAACGACGCAGGCGCAGGGACAGGCGTTCAATCACGTTGGCATCGATCTGCAGACGGCGGTCTTCTCGCACGACCAGCAGCTCCACGTCGCCTTATTTCGATCCCGCAATCCCAAACAGGTGAAAGTCCGCATCGAACCGAACGGCCAGCAAGGCCATCTACTTAACGACGAGAGAAAATTTACACGAAATGCCGTTTTTCAATGAAGTCTTCCAGATGTAAAATGATATAAGCTTTTAATGAAGAAATAAAATGATCCAATTCAAAACATAATACAATTCAAAGATGTTTAACTTTGAAACTTCAAAATGGAGCATCGGGTGCTTGCGTGAATGCGTCGTTCGTGTGCAATTTTTTTATCGCGACTTTCCTGGCCGAAGGCCGTAAATGGTTGTGAGGGGCATCATAGGCACACCCCCGAACAACCCCTAGTATAATAATATATATGGAACAGGTGTGTCAATAACACTGCCCTGAAAAAATATATATATATAAATCTACAGTTGCCCGCGCATTCGTGCGGTATCTGTGGCCGGAGTAGAGAGTGGGAGTTATGTCAGCGTCACGCACGAAGCCGGCTCAACGCTGTGGGTTGTGGGTGACGGCACCACCGCACACTTGTCTGCCCGTGTGACAGTCAGCGAAACTTTACATATATATAGAAAAGGTTTCCTCTTTGACTCTGGTCAAGTATCACAGAGAATGCCCTCGCAGAGCCTGTGGCATCCAAGGGCACGGGTTCACCAGATTGCATACAAAGGATAAACAACAACATAGCTTTAGAATTGCTCGCACACATACGCCACACCCTCTGTGTTCCGGTCGTAGGCTTTTGGTTTATCTCCTCATCGTTTCTTTCGTGGTAGCTTTCAGGCTCACCCCAAATTCTGTCTTACTAGAATTCGGCTTGGAGAGAGAGAGAGAGAGCGATAGAGAGGTTTTACTCTAGTATCCGGACCCCACGCCCCCACATCTCTCCACCCCAACATCATAAGAGCAACAACCTTGGCCGCCCTGAGTAGAATCTCGCGCTCTTGCTCGTCCTTGCGCTGCTTCTCCAGGCGGTCGAGCTGCTCGAAGAACCTGAGCTGAGACCTCACGTCGCTCATCTGCTCCGAGTCGTCCGAGTCCTTGCGGGCGAGCGGGCGGGGGCGAGCGTGCGGGCGAGTAGGGGAGGGGGGATTGCACAGGTGAGGAGTATGCGAGCGAGAGGATGGGCACGTTAGATGGCGAGTGTGTGGGCGAATACGGGAGCTGGGAAGTTCAGTGCACATCGATCGCCCTGCACGTCCCCGTGCTGTGCACTCACCCTGTACGTCTCGGTGCGGTGCTGTGCGATGACACTCAGCCTCTCCACCAGGTTCTTGAGCCTCTCCTGCGCCGCGTGCGACACCAACCCCACCACGTCCGCCGGCACCTCCGTCACGCCGTACCGCCGGCCTGACGCGTACACACCAAACACACGCCACAGGTACACGCACGCGTACACGCCGCACACATACGACACAGATGCACGCACGCACATCCTAGAAATTAGCTCAGAGACAATCTAATTGACACAACTCCCTGTATGCAGAACCGCATCACCATCATCAATATCACTACCACCACCATCATTATCGCTACCAGAATCATAAACATCAACTTCATCATCATTACCACCATCACCACTGACAGACAGCAGCCCAATTACCACTACAATCTCCAGTCAATTACCACCACCACCACCCATATCTTCATTATCACCACCAATACAAACATTATCACTACAACCACCACAATTTTTATCACAACCAGCACGGCCACCAACACACGCCCAAAGCCAATCGTCTTCATCATTTTCCCGGGGTAGAGAAAGTGAGCTCTATATGGTGAGACTGCACCATCTAGTGGTAACTCAACATTCGTCACTTAACGCACAGCCTGGATCCTGTCAAAAGAATGTGGAATTGCCACCAGAGTATACCGAAATACCATGGATGCTCTGCCCTCACCACCAGCACCGGGGAGACGACAAAATCCGGGTGTGCCGTGCCGACCCCACCACTGCCCGGCTATCACACGTCGGACGATTTGGCCAAAACGGGTGCTCGCTGATGCACGACGCCTCACCCTGCTGCCGTGTCACAACCGCTAACGGGCCAAACATTACCACCACCACCAGTACCAGCCCAATAATTAAGATCATAATCACCAATTCTACTACCAACACCACCACCTCCACCACCACCACTGCGAGTCACCAGCCCACCATCACCACGACCACACCCGCTAGTCCAATCGGTCCATCTTAACGGAGCTTTGCTTGCTAAAGGCGTGCTACCGGTTGGGCGAGTCGGTGCGACTTGCACATGGCCATGTGTCTCTTTGTGTCCGTGGGGAGCGGTAGTGAAGCGGTTAGTGCGCTGCGCTTCGAACCTGGCGACACCACGAGTTCGATTCCCGCTCACGTCCAACACCATTGACGATTATCTGAACCAGTCCTGGGTCGACTCAGCCTCAAAAACCTGTACCCGGTGCTGCGTGCAAACATCGCCACTAGGGCGTGGTGCTGGCCACCCATCCCTTTGTGTGCTGCGTGGCAGCCTTCACAGGTGCTGCTCGCTAACGGCACTTGCCCCGAAAGTCTGTTAATGCTCTTCTTTGGTTCTTTCGGTAAAGACAGCGCTGTCCTACCAGACAGTCTCGTCCCTTCACCTGATGAAGGCCGCTTGTGTTGTGGCCGAAACGTCGTGAGAATATTATTGTGTTATTTTATTTTATCAATTTATTATTTTATTCTCATTCTACGTGACTTTACCGAAAGAACCAAAGAAGATGAATCCTTGCAGTCACGAAAGCTTTAAATCGAAATCTGTTAATGCTGTACGGGGGGGGGTATCTTTGTCTTTGTGCGTCCGCTTGCTTGTGCCCCCTTCTCACCAATGTCGAGCAGGCGGCGCTGGAGGGGCCCTGCCGACAGGAAGGCCTCGTCACGGCACGAACGGATCTGCGTCCCCACCGTGTCGGAGCCCGTGGCCGCGATGCGCGCGCTCTCCTCGTTGATGTTCACGCCCGCCATGGAGGCGACGTCGTTGATGTCGTCATCGTCCCTGGTGGGGGAGGGGGAGCGCGGGGACGGGGATAGAGAAGGGGAGACTCGCGACTTGCTTACCCAGGGGAAAGGGCTCGCCAAAGCCTCGTGAATCTTGCGGTAGGGTCCTGCCACGGTGATTGTTGCTACGTGTCTGTGCTCTGAATAGTTTGCATAGTGCTACCCTGCAATGTCCTGTCGCATCCGCCACTGCTGACGGTCTTGGGCTGTGATCTCACGAGTCCCTATGTAACTATGAATGTCTATGTAACTATGAATGTCCATGAAACTCCATGGTTCTCCATGTAACGCTACAGATCTCCATTCAACTCTATGCAACTGCAATGCCTCGCAACTGCTGCCACTGCCGACGGTATTGAGCTGTAGTCGTCCGCGTAACAGAGCTCCTTGGCTCAATGGGGGCCTCACCAACTGAAATAAAATTCAGATTCCGAGCAGGCATGCTGATTCATGTGTGTGTACACGTGCGCACGCGAGAGTGTGTGCGTGCGCGCGCGTGCGTTAGGGTCCCCCTACTTGAAGGTGCCGCCCCCCAGATCCTTCATCTTCCCCTTCTGGCTCGCCGATGCCTGCAGCCCGGTGGCTCCCGGCACTCCTGTGGAGGGTGGCCTGATGAGAGCAGGGCCCTGAGCCTTGACCACCGTGCCTGGTGTCGTGCGCAGTAACACAGCGGGGGATGGGAGGGGGGGGGGGTCGCAATGGGGTCAAACATGGGTACTGCGTCAGCACTGCAGGCTGTTAACCCTTTCCCGTTCCGATGACGTCCACAAGTTGCAGAGTGTTGGTTCCATTCACTGCTGAATCTCAGAAACGCGCAAGCGGGCGGCCCGGCTTTCATTTTATTTCGAGAGGCATAGCGCCGCTGATTTTTAAAGACAGCGTACCTTACTCACCGCAGAGAACCGTAGCGACACGACCACCGCACTCCATGACAGCCGATGACAAACTGTGCCCCACGGCCCACCCCGTATGGCCCTTTACTTCCGATTCCTTTCGGAATCGATTTCGATTCCATTTGGAATTGAATCCGTTCCGCTGCCATAAACGTATGTCGTACACGTCAATTGGAAAAGGGTCAACAGGACAAAGTAAACACTTTGGAAGAGAATAAAGGCCGACTTCAGGGATATAATATGACAACGGTAACGCGTGCTACTCTACGGGACAGAGTTGCACTTTAACAGCATGTGCAGCCACTTTGTTTATCCACTGCTAGGTGAGAGCCTCTCCGCACCTGTGTGGACCGTGGGCTTGTTATAATGTGACCACGCTTCACCCTGCTGGTCGACGCGAGTTGGTGGCGGCGAGGAGCGTAGAAGGGGAACCGTATGAGTATGCTACAACGGTGGATGTTGTTGCACTGCCCTCTGCCATCTCCATTGCCAGGATTGCAAAATTCGGGTGCAATTTGCGTAAGCCATAGGTAATCTCAGGTACCGTGGAGGTGAGAAATCATTTGAACAAAGAGTCGGCAAATGATTTTCAATCGATCGTTAGGCGCCTCGTCGGAAGGCAGAAATTCAACGAGTGAAGGAGCATCGCGTATCGAGCCAAATCAGACGAGCGAACCAATCTTATGTTCCATGGAAGTGGAAGCATAGCAAGGGTAGATCGAGTTCAGATAGCCCGTGTAAGGACATCAAACGGATGAGGAACGAGCTAACGCAGTCCGGCCGGGGAGCGAGTGAGCACTGGCGACACTTGTTCACGACGTTTGTCGAGGACACTTTGACGACTCGTTCACCAGATATCCGCGTCGCCCGCCAGAAGTCCCGATGCGGTTTACGATCACCGATCGATGAATCGCGGGGATAGGGGAGGGGGGGGGGGGGTGGTGAATCGTAGGTCGCTGAGTGCGTTGCTTACCGGGCTTGATGTGAGTGCTGCCGCGAGCCTGCGACTGTAGCACAATCTGCTTCACTCCACCCCCATGCTGCGTCGTCAGAACCTACAACACAAAGGCAAAAGATTCCCCCCCATCCCCCGTAGAGCCTTAACAGACAGTCACGGGGCAAGCGCCGTTAAGCGAGCGCCTACGAAGGCCGGCACGGCACACGAGGGCGTCGGTGGCCTCGCACAACGCACCAGGGACACATTTGAGGCCGAGTCGACCTAGGGGAGGCCCAGGACGGGTTCAGATAATCGTCACTGGTGTTGGCCGTGAGTGGAAAACGAACTCGGATCGATGGGTTCGCGCAGACCACTGCAGGACCACACGTACACACACACATACAAACACCACATTACATCCTTTTTAAGATAATGAGATCACTGGGGAAAATTCTGTCAATAGGCATCTATTAATATACTAGCAAATTCGTTTTAAATGCCAGAGACAGGATAGAAACAGCAGAGCAATGCGAAAATATCGCCTTTGATTCTTGACGCGCGTTTGACTCCACGAAACAACGGGAGCACCAATATCGCTGCAGCCACCGCCGCCACCGCCGCCATCGTAATCCCCATCACTGCCGCGAGTGTCAACGGCAACCACGATCAGCAAAACACAAAAGTATCAACGCAAGCATATCAACACGGACACAGCAGCCGTGAGCTCTCCCCATAATTGCCGGTCCCGCCACCACCAACACCATCATCATGGCTCGTGACATGGCCTAGCTGGAGCACGTTCACCGCTTGTTGCAGAGGTTCATGGTTCAAATCCAGCGGCCGCCCCGCTTATTCTTGCGGGTGTAGTATCCATAGTAATAATGCTACTGCACGCGGTCTGCTCCCCAGTGGACGTTACGGATGTGTCGGCGTCGGGGTCCAGATTTGCCATATTGAAGAATTTATATTATAGCAAGCAATCATTGCCCTAACTCTCATTTCTTGAGTTCCCACCCGGTTAAATAAAATAAACAGATCAGTAACATCATTTTACCACCATGAAATTCAGAATATTTACCACCACCATCACGAAGATCACAATGCCCTTCGTCACGACACTACTACCATTGCTACCACCACGGCCATCAACAGGATCATCACCAGCCTAACCATCGAACAAAGACGGTGGACTGCATCGTGCGCTCTTAGATGCGCGTCTGTGGCTGTCTGGAACCCTCTTCCCCTCGATATTAGAAAGCCACTGGAGCTATGCACTTTTAAATCTAGATTGAAAACTAATTTCTTCAGCACGGATGTTCGCGTGCTTAGCTGTCGTTCCCCCGCACCTCCGATTAGCGCGGTTTGGCGAAGTTCGGTGCGAAACAAGTTAAACATACATATACATACAGCCACAACCCACACCACTATCGCCACCACCACCACCACTTCACCACCACCACTTCACCACCACCACTTCACCACCACCACTTCACCACCACCACTTCACCACCACCACCACTTCACCACCACCACCACTTCACCACCACCACCACTTCACCACCTACGTACCGTGTGTAGCGGTGCCTGCGCCGCGTGCGTCTGCGCTCCCAGGGGTCGCGCGGCGCTAGTCGAGGTCGTCGGGGTCCCGATCGCGTTGAGCTGCGGGACCGCCTGGGTCGACGCTTGCGGGTTCTGCGCCAGGTAGCGCACGGCCGGCAGGCTTTTCTGCGAGAGAGCGCGCCGGCACGGCATGAGCCACCGTTCCCGGCGCCGGGATTCACTCCGACGCGCCTCGGTGAATCGGAGAGAGAGAGAGTGAGAGAGCGAACTCCAACGGCAATGCGGTGCCTCGTCACCATTTGTCGTCACAATCGCGAGTCGAGAATCTACGCTCTTTCTTTTTACCTCAATTGTACAGACGCGTTCGCTGCGACCGACTCGCGCGTACTTCCTGCTGCTGGGGGTTTGGTCTGCCGCGCCACCGCGGCGTATCGGCGCTCCGCCGTTGGGATTTTAACGACCGACGCTTCTCAATTTCAACCGGGTGAACCGTCACGTTTCGGGACGACAATTATATTAATCTCATTTGTACCCGTCTGTCTTCTCTGTACTTCCTGTCTTGTACGGCAAGGTCTGCTCCTACATCTTCTCTCTTTTATACTCTCTCGTCTATTGTTCCCAGCTTGTTTGCATACGCATCTTGTTTGTTGTCTTATTTACTCTTCTCTTTGTCTGTACGGTAAAACCTTGGATTGCGAGTAACTTGGTCTGCGAGCGTTTTGCAAGACGAGCAAAATTTTTAAATAAATATTAATTTGATAAACGAGCGAGGGTCTTGCAATACGAGCAGCACGTACACGCTTTGTCTGCCGAGCGTCACGTGATCACAACTGATATACGAGTGCTTTGGATTCCAAACACGTTTCCGGAACGAATTATGCTCGCAATCCAAGGTTTTACTGTAATTGCTATCTTGTACGGAACATCTTGTCGAACTACGTCTCGTCTCCTTTGTACTCTCGTCCGTACTTGTACGCATGTATGTATGTATGTGGGACTCCTTTCGCACCGTACGTAGCCAATCGCGTCAATCTGAGGTGCCTTTGGCTCCTGGCTTGTTTGCTCTGGTCTGTTTTACCTGCTCTGCCCTATATATGTTATCCATTTGTTCTCTCTCAGTTGTAATTCCTGTCTGAAATATAAGCCATTCGCAGAGATGACATACTAAATTAAGGGTTTTTTTTTTTCTTTAAACGTTGTATGTTCAAGGTCTTCCATTAAGAAGCAGCAAAAATAACTCAGGCTTATTCAGGTAAAAATATCCCAATTTTATTCTGTTAGGCGAGTATATTATCATTTGCCATCATCTAATTGTTTCTGTACCTGTCATACACCGTGATCTATGTTTGTACAGCCCTGACATTAACCGTCTGTGATTGGATGAAATCTATCACATCTAAGCTCATTTCAAACCAAAACTCTCCAACTGCATCCTCAACGCATTTTTTTGACGTAATATAAAGAACGTCTAAGAAAATTTGTTTCAGAAGGACGAATAGTTTTTGTACACGTCCAATTGGTCTTCCAAACAACTTTCATTTGAGTAAAACATACTTAATCTCATTAAAAATCAATCTGAAAATTTGATCATGGGTGACTGGGCCAAGACAAATAACTACGCTTGAAAATGGCATTTATTTTTTTCCTATACAGTCATACCTCGGTATACGACCGCTTTGGAATACGTCGAATTTGGTGCACGTCGTGTTTTGACGAGAAAAAAATGTCTTGGGGATACGACGTCTTGCTTGTGATACGACACGCTTGCTAGAACTTGTATGGGTCGGGATGAGTCACCGTGTGCCCGCGTAGACCCCGTTCACGACCGAGACAAAGCCCCGCTCCTCAGTCTGTAGGCTATCAACTCCTTTCAGCAAGCTTAAATGATGTTAAATTTTACTTTTATTTACATTTATTTAAATGTATGCATGCATTTTAATGTATGTATGCATTTTAGTAATAAGCAGTGTCTAAATTATTTAAAACAACCACATTAATGTATATGCCATATAAAATATAATTTCTTATACTCTGGAACGGATTATTTCCCTTCCCTTTATTCCTTATGGGAAAGATTCGTTTGGTAGAGGTCGCTTTCGGTACAAGCCCTCCTACCTTCTGGAACGAATTAACGACGTATACCGAGGTACCACTGTTCTTTGCACTCTTATCGTTACTGTTGCACCGTTTGTTCTTGTAACTTTATGACCCGACCCCGCTGGACATCTGCCAAAAAAGAGCCTCACGGCTCATCGGATTCCTCCGGGATAAACAAACGCTCCGATGCCGGTGAATCGCGCGCTGCGGCTGAAACCAGAATTAACGCGCAGGATTCTCAGCGGTGGCCGGCTGCAGTGTCTCCAACCGGCATAGACCGCGGTGAGAACCACCAGATCCACCCCCCATCCAACTCATAGGTCTCAAAAGCCACAGCCGCCACGACACCATGTGGGTGCTCGTTGTCGCGGGGTCTCTGCGCGCGGCTTTGCGCCGGTCGGCTGCGAGGACAAACCTTGAGGAAGGGCACGAGGTAGGGCTGTGGCGACGACTTGAGCTCCTTCTGCAGCCGCGATGTGAACTCCTCCGGTTCCATCTTGGCATCCTGGACAACAATCGCCATTTTCGTCGGTGTCAACACCAATTGTCACCACCATTATCATCATTGTGGTGCGAAAGAAGTTCAACACACATGCATCATTTTGCCAGAATCATAACCATTATAACCATTATCACCATTATCATCACCAACATTGCCACCACCAGCGATCTCACGACTATCATCATTATTACCATTATCCCGACCATCATTATAGCCATCACCATTAATAGTATTATAAATACCTTTACCAACATCATGATCATCATCATCATTGCCTTATAATTATCACCATCACGCAACCATTAAATTAATCACCATCACCAGCATCATCACCACCATCAACAAGGTCGCCATCAATTTTGTTACCGACCGGTCTCGACAGCTGTCCGTTCGCGCAACGGATAACCGGTGAATGGCCTGAAATCCCTAGTCTATCCGTCTCGCTCTCTCTCGCTCTCTCGCTCTCTTCACCTTGCCCAAGCACGCGCTGTCGCGAGCACTCTCCGCCACTCACTCCGGCAGCGATCGCTTTGCAACTACTCGCAGGGCGGCGGGCGAGGCCATTGGCTTTGCCACGTCTCTCAGGTCGCACCCTCTCAATCAACAACAAAAAATAACGAACGCAAACTCGCATTCGGCAAAGGGGATTTTCTTTGGTCTCTACTTAAAACAGCACTCTCGCCCCCAACAACCTGTGGAGGCTATACACAAGGGGGGGGTGGGTCTTTGCGTTGAACTGCACCCACCAGGAGGTTTTGCACCAGCTCCTTGACGTTGCGCGTCGTCTCGGGCGACTGCTGACCAGACGACGCCAGCTTGATGAGCGTCGAGAGGAAGTTCTTGCACTTCTTGACGTTCTCCATCACCTCCTGCGAAGAGGGAGGGAGGGAGGGGGCCACGCAAGCGGACAAAAGGAAGAGGCGGCCACATGGGAAAATTTTTTGAACTATTAAAACGTAGCGCACCGCTCTGCAAAAGATTCGCATGGATACTTCCGTTTGGTGACAAGACTCCGATAGCACAAACGTGGATAAAACCGTTTAAAAAATTGTTACGTTTTCCACGCATGCGTTTAAGCAGGAGTCAAACTAAAATCGACGGATCGTTTCTACGCTCATGTATGTTGAACTTCTTTTGCACCGTGCGCGGCCAACCATGTCAATAATAGGTGCGCGCGAGAAGGACATCAAACTAAACCCAATGGGCAGTTCTAAAGACGATTTTCAGAAGTCCACAGCCCAAACGACTTCCTAACATCGGAAGGAAGGGCGTTCCAGACGGCCGCATGCAGAAGACGTGGCAGGGCAACAGTGTGGGGCCGTACCGGTGTGAAGACGAGCGGCGGCTGGCTGGTGGGAAGGGCGGGGCCTGCGGGAGGGGCCGGCGTCGCAGCGGCGAGCGTGGGCGCCCCCCCCCACCGGCGCCGTCACCGGAGCAATCTTGACACGGGCAACGTGCAGCGGGGGGGGGGGGGGGGGGGGGGGGGGGGGCAAACGTTAAAAGGAGTGAGTGCCGCGAAACCCCAGTGCCCGACATCGGTCGGCCACGAGCCTCTCAAACGACGCCGAGCGTCTCGCATCTTCCATCGGCGGGCCTCCCAAATTTCCGCCATTTCCTTGCGACGGCTACCGCTGGACACCGGAACCGTGCCGTGTCACGTGACACCCACCCGGAATGCGTTCACCCTCGCTCGTGGTGAATGGTGCCCTTGCGCTGATGGCACTGGGCTAGAGTCGCGCTGTTCGTGGGCTAACGGAGCCCAGGTTGGGTTTTCAGTGGTGACGGTGGAGGTGGTGGAGGAGGTGGTGGCGAGTGGGTGCCACGGTGGCGAGATATTAACTACCTTGCCTGGTATGCAGGAGGTCATGGATTCGATCCTGACCCTGACACCTGTTGTATATTTGGAGTTTGTGTGTGGTCCCCGTGGTATTTTTCTCCGACTCCTCTGGCTTATAACATGCGTTTAGAGTATCTGGCCGCTGCCATAAATGTCCACGTGATAAGAACACTTCATTGAGCTTTCATTTGTGGCCAGGTCGCTTCTCAAAAAGAAGCTATACAGCTCAGTGGGCCTTAGCTTTTTTTCTTAAGTTTGGGTGGTGGTTAGTGGTTGCCGAGTGCGGTGGTGCACGGAGAGACGAAGGTAGCGCGGGTACCTGCAGCGCGGCTAGCCGCACTCCCTGCTGCGGTTGGGTGGCAGGGCTGGCGGCCGGTGGGCTGGGGGTGTGCGCCACCGTGGCCACGGTGGGGGAGGGGGGCACGGGGGCGGCGTGGGGGGCGGCGCCACCGGCCTGCGCCAACACCGACTGCTGGATGAGGAAGAGCTGGCCCTGCTCGCCGGCGCGCACCATCACCGTACCTGCGGGTGGGAACAAGCCAAAAATCCCCCCCCCCACCATGTAGCCTTCAACAGACTGTTGGGGAAAGTGTCGTTCACAAGCGCCTATTATGGGCCGTAGGCGCTACAAGTCACGTGCCTACTCCGTCAACCAGTGCCTGCTCCAGTCTACCGGCGACCCAGACTATAATCGGTGAGAAGCCCTGTGTACATTAATCCGCACATACGCAAAATAAATAAAAAAAATACATAGGACTCAAGTAATCAATCATGGAATTTCTAACGATGATCGTATATTTTTTTTAAACCCTCTGTCAATTTCCACTGCTGAATTAAGGCCTCCCCACCATTCCGTGCGGCCACGTGGATGGTTATTCGAACAAACTTCACCACGCTCCGGCCGGTGCAATTGAGTGAAGATCAGGACGGTAGCAGCAAAGCACAACAACAATGGGGAGGGTTCCGCACTGCCCTCTGCTGCCCACAATGCGGCACAGCCCGGTAGGCGCACGTGACAAGCTTGTTTACGCGAGAGCCCTCAACGAATCTGAAACTCTCTTACAGGACGGTTCTGCCAAGTGGTCTGCGGTAAGGGGGAAATATTGCTACGTGTGATCGCAATTACGTAATTTGCACGTAATTTTTTTTACATCGGGATGCTTTGCTAAATAATACATCGGACGTTTGTTTTTTTGGCTCTGCGAGGAAACCGGAGAACCCCCGAGGAAACCCATACAGAACGGGGTACAGAACGTACAAATTACACACAGGTAAGGCGCCCGAGTCAGGAATCGAACCCAGGCCGTTTATTGGTGCTGCGAGACACAAGCGCACCACCCAGCCGCCCAACATCATCAAGTATCTCTCGCCAAAGTCTCCTTCGCAAGAGGGACCTGTGACAACAAGCGACAGCAGCACAAATCAAATTCAGTGCTGTCCAACGGCTCATTTCAGCGTTGACGGCACTCAATGAAGTTTTTTGTTGTTGTTGCTGCTGCTGCTGCTACATATTTAGAAAGCACGGGGGGGGGGGGGAGGGGGGGGAGGACCTTGGAAAACTTTGTGGAAGGATTTCACAATCATCGCACTGTGCACGTAACGGCGGCATATCGCAATGGTCAACTCATGACCGTTCCAACACTGGCATTCATCTATTTCGCGTGAAAACTCTCGACGGGCCCCGACGTAAAAGACCGCACGCGCAACCTCGTGTTTCCGCGTCGCAGATTCCACTAACGACTCTCGCGTCAATCCACCGTCAACGCGTGGGACCAGAGAGGTCCCTTGAAGAAGCCTCCGAAGCAGTTCTGCGGACAGCCGTTTCCGCACGGCCGTTTTCTAACAAGGCGGGCGATGGCGGGTTGCACTGTTCAATCCGCCATCGGGCCCTGATCAATCCACGAATGGATGACGGCTCACTGTGCTAATGCCAGAGGGCTGATATTGCTCCATCTCCGCGGTGGTCGTCCTCTCGGGAGTGTTCAATATTTTTTGGCTACAATTGTGTTCTAGTGATGTGCCCTGCCCAAGCCTACTCAACTTTCTTAACTGAACATGACATTTCTAGAACTGTATTTATTCTCAAATCCACATAATTATCTTTATAATCGATGCTGCTAATATCAAGTGTGCACCTTGCCACGCTTCGTTACATAATTGTAACGTTAAATAATGTTTGATTTTAAAACACGAGCGTATAGCTTGAGACATTTTCATCTCACAATCGCTGAGAAACCACAGACAAGCTGAAAGGCAGGCAGGCAGGTGAGCCAGTGCCAACAATTGCCCAATCGCAGCAGCGCTTTAAATTTTAAAATGTTTTCAGCCAATAAGTTATTGTTTATACACGTGGGAAGAAACAGGGGCACCTGGAGCAAAAACCCGCGCGTGCAAGGGGGTCGGAGGGCAACACTCTAGACCCATACAGGAGGGACGGATGATACGAGTCCACACTTTGTTGTTATCGCCTTCTCCTGGCGAGCCCGTGTACGGCACAGCGACACACAACACGTGGAATGGAGTTTCACAGCATTTTCACGATTCACCAACCCTCGTCTCAACAGTGCTGGCCTATGGGCGTGTGCCACCACCGCCGGGCGATATTCACGCTCGCACAATTTGCACCGACTGAAAACGTTCCTATTCAGGTACAAGGGTTGCGTTGATTTTGATTTCTGAATTACATTTTTCAAAAGCGCTGCACAATTTCTCATTCGACAATTTACTTCACCATTTCAACCTTGAGCCGTCTTCAAAGCCGTCTATGCACACTGCAAATAGTTATATTTTTTTGTACGTGTCCCTCCAACAGAAATTATCTTTTGTTTAACTTGTTGTTTACGAGACAAAAACATGTTAATTATCGGCATATGCTAGTGCAAGCCAACCACTGCTGAATGGAATTGATCAATCATTGTTCCAATGCAGGAACCTCCTGAAAAAAAATCTTGAGACCCAGTGATGTTTCATCGAAGAAGAATATAGGGCCTCATTATTAATAATCCATGACAACTACCGTGTCCATCATCACACGCTGTCCCAACCTCATCGTCATCGTGAGCATTAGCCACGATATATCCGCTGCTAGATGAAGGCCTCTCAAAGCCACCGACGTCTGCCGGGGATGCGATACAACCGATACATGTTGCTGCTGCACACGAGCCAATTTCAATGCCCCATCTCCCGCAGCACGATGTTCTCTCGGCCTTTTCCCTCTTTTTGCCTGCAACTCCATCTCCTTAGTCGGGACCGCTGGCCATCGTCTCTTCTAGCGAGGCATCTTGCCCAAGCCCAACTACATTTCTTAACATGTGGATGATGTCGTTAACCTGCGTATGCTGTGTAATACATGTACTCCCCTTCTTGTCTCTAAATTTAATTTTCTTGCTGTGGTTTTCACACCTGATGATTGCTTGTGTTGCAGTCGAAACGTCGTGAGAATTTTATTGTTTTATATTTTTATTATTTAGTTTTTTTTCCCTTCTACGTGACTTTACCGAACGAACCAAGAATATGAATCCCTGCAGTCGCGAAAGCTTTAAATCAGAAAATTTAATTCCAAGCATTCACCTGTCCAGGCCTTTTGGTGCAATTTCCATCTTTTTTATTTAATTTATCGTTGTCTTTGTCCATGTTTCGGATCCACGTCATTGCAGGTATATTGCAATGGCATGTTGCTTTTTCATTACGAAGGCCAGTTTGACACAAGTACTCCGGCCTGCTGCCGTAGTTTATCGCCGTATTCTCCTGAAAAGACGCTCGGGGAGGTAAGACTCACGCACCCCAACTTCAGGCAAGTGTCAATAACGTTACTCAAAAAATCTGGTCTCACACAAGCACCTAATGGATTTTAAGAACCCCCCACCTCCCAAACCAATTCTTGCTTTCAAGTGCAGACAAAAATAAGTGCGTCTTTATAATCAATCCCGAGTACGTGATAATTGCTATAACTCCTTGGGACCTCATTATTAATAATCCATTATTCTTTCTGTGTCCGTCATCGCACGCTGTCCCAACCTCATCATCATCGTGAGCATTAGCCACGATATATCCGCTGCTAGATGAAGGCCTCTCAAAGCCACCGACGTCTGCCGGGCCTGCGATTTTTATTTTTTTAAGGGCAGATGTAACGTTCTTACCCGCCCCGACTGGACATCTGTGAAAAAGAGCTTTGTGGCTCATAGGATTCCTCCAGTATAAATAATCTGATTCTGACGTGAAAGTCAATATCAGGAGTTGTGTGAAGTGGTGAAAAGAGGCCTGGGTTTTCAGAGAAAACAGCAAGACAATGCTCACGGTCACAGCTATCTGATCCGAGAAGACGGTGACTTTTGCCTATGGAAGTACTGGGGCACAAACGAGAGGGAAATTAAATATTACCGAGTTGGCCGATTTACGTAGCGTTGAAGTCCGCACGACAACAACACGACCGCTATTGTGGAAACCTCACTCGTAAATATACTTTGCCGGGGTAGCCTTGAAACGCAGAGAGAAAGTCCATGAAAGTTCACTGCTTAATGACAATTGTTTATCCAGAAAAGCGTTCCGTTATAGAATGGGATGTTTGAGCGATGGCATGAACGGGTGTTTGGCTTTGTGGCGGAGGAAACCAGAGAAGCCAGGAGAAAACCCACCATTAGACAAGGGTGTTGACACTCAGTACTGCCACCTGCTAACCACACCTCGCAGCCCCATACCTACAACAGCTGGAAAGCCCTGGTGGTCACCCATTTAAGTACTAACGAGGCTCAACTCTGTTTGGTTTCCGAGAGCTGATGGGATCGGGAGCATGTAGGATGATTTGGTGAGACGTAACCATAGAATTTTTTTTTTTACGTGGCAGCCTTTGCAAAGGGGTAGACATAAATCTTTTATATTAAATTTCGTCACCGTCACACTTTCACTTGGTCCAATTATAACGCAACATTTGAAGAGCCACCCGCTTGGCGATTAAGGAAGGGGAAAAGTGGCCATGCTTGATGAGGACTCAAGAAAAACATTTGCCAAGGTTTGCAGGGTCCAAAAAAATGTGCACCGACCACTCTGTGTATCGTGTGGATAGGAGATGAAAAGCGGTGTATGCAGGGATGAAGCGATGGACGCTGGGATGAATAGGTTGGCGCTCACTCACCGCAGCGTGGGCAAGCGCTTTTGGTCTTAACAGTGCGATACTGATATGGGGCCTGTGCGTCTATCTGCAAACCTCCGATGGTACCAGTGGTGATGGGAAGGGAGCAACAGCACCATACGGCACACCTCAAAAAGCGAGGACCTGTTGGGTTGCTCAATGGGTTAAGACAGCTGAGCCGGCACCATTAAGACCCTGGGTTCAGATCCAGGTTTACAACTCATAATGTCTGTACGGAGGGAATGAACCAGCAAGCTGTGACCCTGGGTTTGAATCCAAGTTTACAGCTACGTAATGACTAAATTTCGATTTGAATCTTTCGTGACTGTAGGGATTCATATTCTTGGTTCTTTCGGTAAAGTCACGTAGAAGGGAAATAAAAAAATAAAAAAATAAACGTGACTTTACCGAAAGAACCAAGAATACGTAATGACTGTTGGAGCAGGTTAAAAGTAGCACTGAGGATCCTGGGTTTGAATCTCTATTTTAGTCACTCGGGTTTAAACCGGGTTCTAAAGTGTAGCGAGTTGATGGTCTCAGACCAGACCTCAAAGACTCTACAAAAACCCACATTTTATAAAATGTGGATTTTCACCCAAATTGGCTAAATTCCAGCTGACACTGAAAACATTTTCGGTTTGATTGACATGCGATGAACAATCTCACATGGTCTTATTTTCAGGAGGGCCCTGCATTGTCGTGTTATAATTTCTTGACTTGTGGGAGGAAAACTAAATGTGTGGAGAATACCCACCATCTCATCAGGTCAAGTATACATTCGAAACTTTTGCAGAGGTGTGGCATCACCAACTGTGTGAAAGAATGGCCCGCGAAAGCAGATATCACAGAACTACTTCTGATATCCCTTAAAGTAACCTCTTAGCAACACAGTACAGGATACACTTCACCACAGACATGGGGGCATCATAATCATCATCGGCCATGGTCAATCCACTGCTGGATGAAAGCCTCCCAAACGACACCGATGTAACAATAATATTTTAGTTTTATTTGTATATATTTCTTCAGTAATTTGCTTACCTTTCCTATACTTTGCACGCCTATCGTGATTTTGCATTGCTCACTGTTGTAATGTTCTGACCCCGTACCCCTGACTGGATTCCTCAAGCAAAAATAAATATTCTGGTAATACATCCAGCACCTGCACTCGAGGTACTCTTATGTCTCCATCTCCACGGTGGAAGCCCTCTTGGACTCGATTCCTTGGCTGCCACAATAGTTATTCTCGACCCGTCAACCCTCATCCCCTTCCAGCGAAGTATTCTCTCCAAGCCCGGCCTTACTTTTCTGTTTCACCGGCGTCACTGAAACCTGCACATGTTCTATAATACACGTGTTCCTCTGTTTCGCAGGCTACTTCCCAGTGGCATCTCTGTTGCTTTTCCACACACTCAAGTGTTTAGTTCCTTGTATTTATTCATGACCAGTCGAGGCAAGCACTCAAAAAGTTCGCACACAGGAGCAAGCCACCAATATGCAGAATGACACATGGCCAATCATTCCTCACAGCTGTTCTTGCTGGGAGAGAGCAAGCATGGACCAATTTAGCCCAAGAGACAAAACAATTCCTACCCGGTGCCATGCACAAACAGGTCACCAACAGACAGGACACAAGAATGTGCCCTTTTTGAACTTTGTTTTGTCCTTTTGCCCCAGTTTTATTCAAATTGTCCTATCAGTGCGATGTCATGAGCTGAAAGTGCCCATTGGGAGCTTTCGTAGAACGGCATATTTCCATGCCTTGCTCGACAAAAGCCTGCAGAAGCAGATAACACAGAATTACTTCAAGTGACCCTATTTATCTGCACACTGCAGGTTGTACTTTACCGTACTCCCCACTACAGCTAAATCTTACTCACATGGCAATAGCACGGCATTATTTTTTTTTTACTAGATATGGAAGTTGCCTACATTAAGCGACAAACAAAATAGAAACTTGTGGCAATATTTGAGTTTTAACTCATGACTGAGATGTGATTATCAACTCTACACACTTGGGAACACGGTTAACCGGGCAACCAAACCCCAGAATTCAAACCCAGAAGCTCAGTGGCGTCAGCTCAGCACTCCAACACCCCTGTGCCACCGGGCTGAGTTCATCAACTAGCCACACTTTTGAGAACCTCACTCAAATCACGGGCAGTTCCATGTCCCCCTGTACCACCAGGCAACCTGTCAATGCAGCCGTTTGATCTCAGACAAGCACCAACAGAGCCGAGCGTTTGCTCTTTACCTGGTGGCAAGGTGAAGCCAGGAGGAAGCTGGATTGTTTGCGGTCGTGGGGCAATGATCTGCGGCGGCAGCAGCCTCTGCTGGAGTGCAAGACCCGGTCGCGCTGGGCTCAGCGCCGGTCCGGGCGAGGGTGGAGGCGGTACGCTCACCCTTACCATGCCACTGTGCCCACCAGCCAGAGGCACCATCCCCGTAACGCTGGGCGCCAAGGTGGGCACAATAGCAGTCTGCTGCTGCTGCTGTTGTTGCTGCTGTTGTTGCTGCTGCTGTTGCGGACTGCTGATGAGGGTGATCGCGGGGCGAGAGGCCACGGCACTTATGACCGACGGCTGCCCGCTCACAACACCCCCCGGCGTGGTGCACATGAGCGGTGGGTGTCCGGTGGAGTTGCTGCTGCTGATGTTGCTGCTGGTGCTTATAATACTGCTGGTGCTGACGATGCTGTTTGGTGCTCCGTTGTGGCTCGAAGGTGGCCGCTGCAGAGTGATCGTGGGAGGCGTCGCTGCTCCAGGGCTCGGGATGAGACCGGGGTTGGAAGTGGCGGCGGCGGCGGCGGTGGTGGCAACGTTGGGGTTGGTGGAAGTAACACTGGGGTTGGTGGAGGTGGTGATGATGGTGGTGGTGGCGGCGGCGGTGATGATGGGGTTGGGGGTGACGTTAGGGTTGAGGTTGGTGGAGGCGGTGACATTGAAGTTCATCCGCCCCGAGTCCACTGCAACCACCGACGGAGCCACGCCGTTGTTGCTGTTGCCACCGCTGCTAATGCTCGAGGTCCTTGCCGGTGAAACTACACCGACTCCACCGCCAACAACGACGCCTCCTCCCCCAGCGGGTGCCCCGTACACGGAGCCTCCGTTCAGAGGTTGCCCGGCGGAGCCGACCGTTTGGGTCACCGGTGTTCGGCCCAAAGTTAGCACGGGAACATCGGCGTGGTTGGACAGCGAGGAGGTGGTGGTGGTGGAGGATGATGATGATGATGATGCAGGGGCCGAAACGGACGATGACTGCGATGAAAACGAGGAAGATGAACAGGTGGATGCAGCTGCCGATAACGATGACTGTGTCAATGATGATGCTGCTTGCGCTAACGATGTTGACGGTGATGAAAGTGATGCCGATGATGATGATGATGACGAGGACGACGACGCTGCTGCTGATAACAGTGAAGACGTTGATGATAGTGATGATAGTGATGATGCCGACGATGCCGATAACGAAGACGGTAAAGCTGCCGCCACCGATGCCGATGATGCAGCGACACTCACACCCGAAGCCACCACTCCGCCGTGTCTCTGGCAATTCGTCCCGCCGACCTGCTGCTGCTGCTGTTGCAGCTGTTGATACTGCTGCTGTTGCTGATGCAAGAGTAAAATTCCCGTCGCAGCCGTTCTCTTCATGGGGGGGCCCAGCGTCCCGGACCGAGCCTCGGCCTCGCCTAAATCCGGCGCCGCGGCTTTCGAGGCGCCTCCGCCCGCGGCAGCCGGGGCTCCGAGCCGGCCACCTCCTCGGTCCGGCGGCTGTTGCTGCTGCTGCTGCTGCGGGTGCTGCTGCGCTTGCTGCGCGTGGCTGTTGAGCACCGTGGGCCGCTGTCGCGACAGGCGCGACTCGAGCGAGCCCACCAGCTCGCTCACCGCCTTCTCGTCCACGTCCGTGGTGAACATCTCCAAGAGCGGGTCGCTCGCGTTCGCCATCTTGTGTTGGGCGATCCCGGGGGGCGGGGGGGGAGCTGTGTGGGGAGGGGGAGGGGTTGAGTGGGGCGGGGCGGAGAACGGCGATTGGGGCGGGGGGGGGTATGCGGGGGGTGGGGGCTGTGAGGGGTGGGGCGGGGGGGCGGAGAACGGCGATTGGGGCGGGGGGGGTATGCGGGGGGTGGGGGCTGTGAGGGGTGGGGCGGGGGGAGAACGGCGATGGGGGTGGCTGTGGGGAGGGGGGAAGGGTGGAATGGGGCGGGGCGGAGAACGGCGATGGGAGGGGTCGGGTGTGCGGGGGGCTGTGGGGGGTGGGGGCTATGTGGGGGGGAGGGGTGGAGGGGGGGAAGGAGTTGTGGGAGATGTGGTGGGGGGGGAGATGAGCGGAGGGGGGGGGCATGAGAGGGAGGGGGGAAGAGGTGGGTGGCCATAGGGGACAGGAAGGATTGGAAGGGAATGAAGAGGTGGGGGTGCAGGGTGGAGGGGTGCAAGAAGAGGGGAGGGGCTGTGGGGGTACAAGGTGACGAAGTGATGAGGGTGGCGGCTGAGGGGGAGTTGGGGCCATAGGAAAATATGAGGGAGGGTGGCGGAGCTGTGGGGTAAAGAGGAGAGGGGGGGTGTGAAGGGGTCGGCGGGAGAGGGGACGTGGGGGGGCGTGAGAGCAGAGGGGAGGGGCTGTGGGGGTGTAAGCAGAGGGGAGGGGCTGTGGGGCGTGAGAGCAGAGGGGAGGGGCTGTGGGGGTGTAGCAGAGGGGAGGGGCTGTGGGGCGTGAGAGCAGAGGGGAGGGGCTGTGGGGGTGTAGCAGAGGGGAGGGGCTGTGGGGGTGTAGGCTGAGGGGAGGGGCTGTGGGGGTGTAAGCTGAGGGGAGGGGCTGTGGGGGTGTAAGCTGAGGGGAGGGGCTGTGGGGGTGTAAGCTGAGGGGAGGGGCTGTGGAGCGTGAGAGCAGAGGGGAGGGGCTGTGGGGGTGTAAGCAGAGGGGAGGGGCTTTGGGGGTGTAGGCTGAGGGGAGGGGCCGTGGAGGTGTAAGCTGAGGGGAGGGGCCGTGGAGGGTGTAAGCTAAGGGGAGGGGCTGTGGGGGTGTAAGCTGAGGGGAGGGGCTGTGGGGGTGTAGCAGAGGGGAGGGGCTGTGGGGGTGTAGAAGAGGGGAGGGGCTGTGGGGGTGTAGGCTGAGGGGAGGGGCTGTGGGGGTGTAGCAGAGGGGAGGGGCTGGGGGGGTGTAGCAGAGGGGAGGGGCGGTGGGGGTGTAAGCAGAGGGGAGGGGCTGTGGGGGTGTAAGGAGAGGGGAGGGGCTGTGGGGGTGTAAGCTGAGGGGAGGGGCTGTGGGGGTGTAAGCTGAGGGGAGGGGCTGTTGGGGTGTAAGCTGAGGGGAGGGGCTGTGGGAGTGTAGACTGAGGGGAGGGGCTGTGGGGTGTAAGCTGAGGGGAGGGGCTGTGGGGGTGTAAGCTGAGGGGAGGGGCTGTAGGGAGGGGCTGCAAGGACGGGGATCAATTTGAATGTGGTTAGAATCGATGCTTAAGCTCACGCACTAAATGCATCTTATGCCGCATAAAAACCGGAGGAAGGGCCTTTGCTATTGATGCCCCCAGGGTCTGGAATGCTATTGCCAATAAACTGCAACTTGAATCACTACCAATGAGATCTTCACTCAAAACTGCTCTAGAGGAGTTGTACACCCCTAGCTGCCACTGCTATTCAGTGGCCTAAAATAAAATAAAATGTTTCGCTCCGGATGACCGCTGCAAAGTATTTTCTGTATTTTGATTTAGTGTGCTGATCTTAAAGGTGCATTAAAAAATGTGATACTCCGACTGATGCTCCTGTTGTTGTGGAGTGACTCATGCAGCCAGCTGTGGCTCTAGGGTTTGGTGTTACGTGTTATTTATCTAGTTTATTGCAAAAAAAAAATCGGTCACAGTTCCTATGATCACTGTTACATTGCATTTATGGCTTTATTTTGGTGATTTCTAAAAGTTTTTTGGTTTGGCCATGTTTTTGTTTTGTTGTAGTACGGAGTTAGACTGATGGCCTTAATCTAAGTTGTCTTGTGGTTGTTGTTTGACTTGCATCCCACTGGGGATACTCCGACTGATGCTCCTGTTGTTTGTGGAGTGACTCATGCAGCCAGCTTTGGCTCTAGGGTTTGGTGTTACATGTTATTTATCTAGTTTATTGTAAAAAAATCGGTCAGTTCCTATGATCACTGTTACATTGCATTTATGGCTTTATTTTGGTGATTTCTAAAAGTTTTTTGGTTTGGCCATGTTTTTGTTTATTGTAGTACGGAGTTAGACTGATGGCCTTAATCTAAGTTTTCTTGTTGTTGTTTGACTTGCATCCCACTGGGATTTTTGCACACAGCGTTGGTGTACGGTGCTATTTCAGGAATATTTTGATGTTTTTTTCCTGGATTTTATGTTTGCACAGTCACATAGTCACTTTTAGATGTTTTCTTGCTCATGTTTTTGTTTTTTTGTTTGTTGCGGTTGCACCCAATTCAAGAGCCGAATGGCTCACAGGGCAATACCTAATAAATGAAACTATGAAATGAAACTATGAGCTAAATGGACAAACGTGCGTTTAGAGTATTTGGTTGCTATCAATTTCCACGTGATAAGCCAACTTCATTTGTGGCCAGGTCGCTTCTGAAAAAGCTCATAAGCTTTAGCGGCTTTACTTGGTAAAATAAAATAAAATAGGTAAACTTTTTTTATTAATTTGCTCACCGTTCCTATACTTTGCACTCCTATCGTGTTTTTGTATTTTTGTTGCAACGTTCTGACCCACCCCGACTGATTCTGGGATGCGCAGCTCAAGAATGAATTAACATAAAATGTTCAGGATGGCAATTTGGAAAATAATCCTGAAATATAACCATGCTTGAAGACAGTTGAACACGTAGCAAGGCTTTCGTGACCAATAATATCCATAATACAGGGGTTTTGGGTTAGATCGCGTAAATATAAACACGCCGTTAACTCGCCATTTAGTAAGGGGGTTTCACGTGTACAGAGCATGCCAATTCGTTACTAATACAGCACACCGGTGTATTGGAGAGCCCAGCCACAACATTTACAATCTGAGCACGACGTTTCGCCAGAATTTATAACTAGCTTCATCAGGCGACAGCCAGATTTGTGGACAACTTGGACTTAGATTGTAAATGTTGTGGCTTGGCTCTCCAACACACCGGTGTGCTGTACTAGTACGTTTTTATTAACGGAGTATTATCGCTATGTTTCCTGAATTGCAGTTGTAGCATCCCGTTCTATACATTTGTGTTTGAACACCGATGCCTTATTGCGCGAGTGGACTTTTCACAAGCTGTTTGCGCAGACACGAACTTTCACAAACACGGAATGATGATGCTTCTTTCAAGCATTCTCATACGGTATTTTAAACATGATAAAATAATTAAAAAAATGATGCTAAAAATGTGTATATATATACTTGGGGAATTGCAGAACCCGTGTGCTAATTGGTCACGATTTTTTTCTACAAATTTGTTGAATGATTTTTTTTTATTACGATGAAGCAATATCGGCTGCGAAAACCTACGTCTTAAAAAGTCGACGTTTTAAAGTCTTACATGAACAATACTGCGATTTAAATCAATCTGCAATTGAACATTCTGGCGGGACCCCGGGGTTCCATAAGCCCCCGGCTCTCGCATTAACATATATTATAACGAGCCATTTGCCCGTCCAAGGACAGGTGTATTGCAGTAAATCTGAAACTTGCAATGCGAAAAGCAGAACGCGACGTGATATTCATTGCATCAATTCGTGTGCAATTTGAAAGGGCGCGGTAACACATACCTATTTCATTTTAAGGTTATAATCCCTTGTTCATCACGACGTCCTTTTTACTTCGATGTCTCAACAACAGCGTCACGTAGATCACGTGATGTGAGGGTTCTGCCTTTGTAGTGAGGGTTGTCAGTTGACGCCGAGGAGGGGGGAGGAGGCGCCTCGCCCCCCATGTGGAGTGACGTCACCCGCTAATTATATTGAATGGGGGGGGGGGTGTCCATTTGGAGGACGTCACCTTACAATGATTATTAATGAGGGGGGCTGTTCGATGTGGAATGACGTCACCTGCTCATGATTATTAATGGAGAGGTTGCTCCACGTGGAGTGACGTCACCTGCTCATGATTATTAATTAAGGGGGGTCCATGTGGAGGACGTAACCTGCTCATGATTATTAATGTGGGGGGGCTGATCAACGTGGAGTGACGTCACGAGCGTTGCACACAGACATTCTTGGCACCTGCTTCGGCAGCCCTCACCTGATGACGATTGCTTGTGTTGCGATCGAAACGTCGTGATATTGTGATTATTTTTATTATTCTAGATTTGAAGCTTTCGTGACTGCAAGGATCCATACTCTTTGGTTCTATTCGGTTAAGTCACGTAGTAGGTAAAAAATTAAAACAACAAAAATCACGACGTTTCGGCCACAACACAAGTGGCCTTCATTGTGGCTGAAACGTCGTGATTTTTGTTGTTTGAATTTTTTACCTACGTGACTTTACCGAATAGAACCAAAGAGTATTTTTTTTATTATTTTTCTATCTACGTGGCTTTACCGGGGGGGGGCGGCGGGGGGGGTGATGTCCATTTGGAGGACGTCACCTGCTCATTAATATTAATGAGGGGGGGTTGATCGATGTGGAATGACGTCACGAGCGTTAAGGACAGACATTCCTGGGTGATTATAGTATAGTAGGTATGTACACAAAAAGTGAAGGATATGGTGGCAAATGTTTATTGTTAAACTATGCCTTTAAAACTGAAAACTACTTACCTGCAGTACCTTCATTTAAATTTCACCATTGAAAAAATAACGTATGTGGGGACTATGGCTTAACCGCTAAAAAAACCTATCTGCACAGATACATACGGACAAGAGAAGTATTATCAAACAGGAGGAATTAACGGTGCAACGTATCTCATCTGTTAAATATCTGCAGGTAAGGGGCCGTCCATAAATGACGTCACGCGATTTTGGACGATTTTTGACCCCCCCCCCTCGTCACATGGCGTCACAAAAAGTCAGACCCCCCCTCAAATATGACGTCACAAAGCTCTGCCCCCCCCAAAACCATATTTCCATTTTGAAAATAAATCATGCTTCAAATCGCTTTAAACTATTGTCATTGTAGTGCGTATTCAATGTGGCGCTGCACTCTGATGTTGTAGGAGTCTTGTTATAACAATTAGTGTTGTCATAACAATTCTATATTTATTTAAAGTTGCGCATTTTCATGTGACGTCACATTTCTCAACCCCCCCCCACCTACTCGTCACACATCGTCACAAATGTCTGACCCCTCCCCCACCCCCCCAGGTGCGTGACGTCATTTATGAACGGCCCCTAATAGGATTGCCATCGATTGATCCTAGCTGCAGACATTGGTAGGTCACAAATAATAATGAAGATAAGAGAGCAGTTTCACTGCATTACGCATACCGTTATGACAACTAAAGTTCTTAAGTCGTGTACGCAGTTTAAGCAGCTTTGGATAAGACTTATTATGATCCTGCCCATACCCGAACATGGACTGCATTCGCTCGTTCAGCTCTTCTGCTGCTGAGCTTGGACACGACAACAACACAACGATCCGCGCCATGCGGGTCGCAGCGTTTATGCCCGCGGTGGGACGGAATCTATTAATCGATCTGATATGACGGGAGATCGATTAATCGATCAGTGTCAATCAGACAACGGGAGCGTGGAGTTGCCGCTGCGAAGGAGGCTCGAACTGCGCATGCGCTAGGGGGAGGGGGCACTGGGGGTGGGGTGGGGGGGGAGATTGCGGGGTTCGAGCTCGCAGTGCGCATGCGTCAAGAGTTGGGGCAGCGGTGGGGTGGAGTTTGGGCTTGGGGGGCGGGGCAGGGGCTAAGCCGCGCAGTGCGCATGCGCTGAGGGGAGGGGCAAGTGGGGCGTTTCGGGAGGGGTGTGGCATTGTCCGTCTGAGGAATCGATGATGATTAATCGGTACACGGATAACATTCGATTCCTACTCGATCGACGTGCAGGGACTCCTCTACTTACGAACATTCGACTTGCGAACTTTCAGAGATACGAACAAACATCCGTATGTCCAGTTGCCTGTTCGGACTGAGAGTCGTAAGTTAAACCGCCGCGCAGTAGATGGCAGTGGTGGCATCTACATCTACAGAACGTGAAGAACCAGTGGCATCTACATCTGCAGAACGTGAAGAACAAGTGGCATCTACATCTGCAGAAGGTGAAGAACCAGTGGCATCTATATCTGCAGAACGTGAAGTCCCAGTGACATCTACGTCTGCAGAACATGAAGAACCAGTTGGCATCTACGTCTGCAGAACGTGAAGAACCAGCGACATCTACATCTGCAGAAGGTGAAGAACCAGTGGCATCTACGTCTGCAGAACATGAAGATTCAGTGGCATCTACATCTGCAGAACGTGAAGAACCAGTGGCATCTACGTCTGCAGAACGTGAATAACCAGCGGCATCTACATATGCAGAACGTGAAGACCCAGTGGCATCTACATCTGCAGAACATGAAGAGCCAGTGACATCTACATCTGCAGAAGATGAAGAACCAGTGGCATCTACATCTGCAGAACATGAAGAACCAGTGGCATCTACATCTGCGGAAGGTGAAGAACCAGTGGCATCTACATCTGCAGAACATGAAGAACCAGTGGCATCTACATCTGCAGGTTAAGAACCAGTGGCATCTACATTTGCAGAACGTGAAGAACCAGTGGCATCTACGTCTGCAGAACGTGAAGAACCAGCGGTATCTACATCTGCAGAACATGAAGAACCAGTGGCATCTACATCTGCAGAACATGAAGAGCCAGTGACATCTACATCTGCAGAAGGTGAAGAACCAGTGACATCTACATCTGCAGAAGGTGAAGAACCAGTGGCATCTACATTTGCAGAACGTGAAGATATAGTGGTATCGACGTCTGCAGAATGTGAAGAATCAGTGGCATCTACATTTGCAGAACGTGAAGAACCAGTGGCATCTACAGCTACAGGAGATTATACAACTTTTAAAGGCTTTTCCCAGTGTTTAGTGTCCATGCCGTACAACGTGTTTGGAATCGACAGGAGTAAAGTTGGACTTATGAACAAATCGACTTACGAACATACCTCTGGAACCTAACTCGTTCGTAAGTAGAGGAGTCGCTGTATCCACTTATAAATAGTACGCACAAGAATAAATTCTCTAGATTTATCGATCATATTATTTGATATTTCTAAACACATTACTGCGCCACACACACACACAGAGTACATCCAAAGGAGAGGAATGCGTTGAGCTATCATTTGCCGCAAGGTCGTTTCTGAAAAATAAGTTAATACATCAGTGGGCTCCACGTGGTAAGATCCAAAACATTTTAATTCCATTTTTATGTTTTTTGTGTAGTGATCTGTTTATCTTTCCTACACTTTGCACTCCCTATCGAGTTTTTTTTTATTGTTTGTTGTAACGTTCTGACCCCGTGTTCCTACTGCACATCTGTTAAAAAAGAGCTTTATAGCTAATCGGATTCCTCCTGCAGTATAGATAGAAATTCTGATTTCTGGACGATCATATCGAGTCATGTAGAGAAGTGAGCTGAACAGAAGCAGCACTTGGACAATAAGGAAGGCCTTCGTCCAGCAGTTGATAGACCATGGGTTATTAAACGTTTAGTTCATTTAGTAAATTATTTTAAAAATGTATTTATAATATAATCATTTTTATGCTGAGTGCCTGCTGCTGCTGCTGTGATATCCTTGATAAAAAAAAAGCCGCTATATAAATATAATTATGGCTAACGATGATGGTTATGAAAGCTGTGTTACATAATTAACGATCCTCTAAGGGGCCGTCCATAAATGACGTCACGCGATTTTGGACGATTTTGACCCCCCCCTTCGTCACATGGCGTCACAAAAAGTCAGACCCCCTCCCCCTCAAATATGACGTCACAAAACTCTGCCCGCCCCCCCCCCAAAAACATGCCTCAAATCGCGTTAAACTATTGTCATTGCGGTGCGTATTTATGTGGCGCTGCACTCTGATGTTGTATGATGAAACATTTATTAAAAAAGTATATTAAATTAAGTAGAACGTGTTGTCTATATTTATTTAAAGTTGCGCTTTATGATGTGACGTCACATTTCTCAACACCCCCCCCCCTCGTCGCACATCGTCACAAATGTCTGACCCCCCCCCCCCCAGGTGCGGTGCGTGACGTCATTTATGGACGGTCCCTAACCAGCTTGGAAGAGTAGGCCAAATAACCTGTCCACGACTCCTCTGGAGCGAGCAATTTGCAGCGCTGCGCCTTTACTTAAAAACAATCGATTCACGTGCCGAATCTGTGTCTGCCGAATCGATTACCGATCCTCGATTCACCATTCATCCGAATCGCCGCAACGCGTTTGATAGTCGATCCGGGAAGAATCGACATGCCGATTCAACATCTTCCCCCCCCTTTCACGATCAGCTACGACAGCGACTACCGCGAGAGAATCGATACACACGCCAGGTCGATTCGATTCCAGGAGGTTGCGTGTCAAAATCTTGGCCGGCAGGAGCTTCGGACGTCCTTGGTCCCGCCGCGGCAATGGCGAAAGCGCCGCGCGTGTCGTTGCTGCTGCCCACGTACAACGAGCGAGAGAACCTGCCCATCGTGTTGTGGCTCATAGACCAGAGCCTCACCCAGAGGTGAGCGAGGTTTTACGATGGGTGAGGTGGTCGTGGTTGTGATTGTAGTGGTGGTGGTTGTAGTGGTGGCGGTGGTTGTGGTGGTTGTAGTGGTTGTGGTGGTTGTAGTGGTGGTTGTAGTGGTTGTGGTGGTTGTAGTGGTTGTAGTGGTTGTGGTGGTTGTGGTGGTTGTAGTGGTGACGGTGGTTGTAGTGGTTGTAGTGGTTGTAGTGGTGGCGGTGGTGGTTGTAGTGGTTGTGGTGGTTGTAGTGATTGTAGTGGTTGTGGTGGTTGTAGTGGTTGTAGTGGTGGCGGTGGTTGTAGTGGTGGTGATTGTAGTGGTTGTAGTGGTGTCGGTGGTTGTAGTGGTGTCGGTGGTTGTGGTGGTTGTAGTGGTGACGGTGGTTGTAGTGGTTGTGGTGGTTGTGGTGGTTGTAGTGGTTGTGGTGGTTGTAGTGGTTGTAGTGGTGGTGGTTGTAGTGGTGGTGGTGGTTGCGGTGGTGGTGGCGGGGGTTTCGCAGCTTCTGTTTGGCCGCATAGAGTGGGGGGGGGGGGGCGCGGTGCTGGACAAGAGATGGAGCTGATGCGTTGCGGGAGGACGCGGAGCCGAATGGACTTGCCGACGACTGGCAACCCAGCGGTGCCATCAAGATCGGCCTCTGTGGATGAGGAGGAGGCTCGTGAAGGACGCTGCTGCTGCTGCTGAGCAGTTGGAGGCAGTCGCCCTCCAGCAACAGCGACAGCGGAGGGCAGAGGAGCGACGCTCACAACAACGAGCTGAGCGCCGGGTGTATAAAACGAGGGGTGAATCTGGCGGTCATCTCTGTCGGCCAACCCATGGCACCCGCGGGGTCCGTGTCAGCGAGCCTTGGACACTTCACGCGGCCGCCTCAAAGTGCACCTAGCCTGGCACAGGCGCCGTGGTGACGTCACAATCGCTTAAGTGACGAATGGAGCGTGGTTGTTATTTCTTGGGGAGGATTTTGGTGGTCGTTGTCGTGGTCACAGCGATGGCACGCGATCTGGAAAGACGCTTTGTGGAGATGGAGCGATGCAATGGGGTGGGGTGAGGGTTGGGATTGTTCACGTCGCAGGGACAATGAGCGGATCGACAATGAATGGGCTCCTGTCCGTGGTGATGGTGATGTTGATGATGATTATTATTATTCTTACCACTACTACAAGCGATACCTCGGGTTTACGTTGGCCGATGAGTTCCTCAGAGGTGCTAAGACGAACGTCGAAACGACGTTAAAGCGAAGCGATTGGCAGGGTTGGTGGTATAGTCGTGGTGGCTGGGTGGGTGGGTGGGCGGTGGAGGCGAAGAATAACGACCAGCCCCCCTCATTAATGATTATTAATGAGGGGGGCTGGTCGACGTGGAGTGACGTCACGCGCGGGACACACAGACATTCTTGGCTGATTATTGTAGTATAGTATGGAGGGGTGGGGGTGGGGGTGTCCATTTGGAGGACGTCACTTGTTCATGATTATTAATGAGGGGGGCTGTTCGATATGGAGTGACGTCACCTGCTCATGATTATTAATGAAGGGAGGGGGGTTCTCCATGCGGAGTGACGTCACCTGCTCATGATTATTAATGAGGGGCGGGTCCATGCGGAGGACGTCACCTGTTCATGGTTATTAATTAGGGGGGCTGGTCGACGTGGAGTGACGTCACGCGCGTTACACACAGACATTCATTGGTAAATATAGTCGTAAATAATGGGCGGCGGGGAGGGGGTTCATGGCCTTGCTTCCATTGAGCTCTTTCCATGATAGTTCCTTCAGAACTTGATAATCCATGGGCAGTGTTAGTCTACGTGCAATGTGAGTCTGTGTGCAATGTGAGTCTGTGTGCAATGCGAGTCTGTGTGCAATGTAAGTCTATGTGCAATGTTAGCCTATTTGGAATGTAAGTCTGTCTATTTACCACATCCTTTTGAGAAGACGTCGGTGATTGTGGCCAAATCTGTCCATGCTAGTTTCTCAAGTACACTCCCCCTTGCATCCAATTGCTCAAAGTGCTTGTGTGCTTAATTCGCTGCCTTCCCCGGCTTCTTGTAGCGCCCATAATTTCCCCCAGTCAAAACATTACATTAAATTTTTTTTCGATTTAAAGCTTTCGTGACTGCAAGGATTCATCTTCTTTGGTTCTTTCGGTAAAGTCACGTAGAATGAGAATAAAATAATAAATTGATAAAATAAAATAACACAATAAAATTCTCACGACGTTTCGGCCACAACACAAGCGGCCTTCATCCAGCGTCCTCCAGACAGTCTCGTCCCTTCACCTGATGAAGGCCGCTTGTGTTGTGGCCGAAACGTCGTGAGCATTTTATCGTGTTACTTTATTTTATTCTCATTCTACGTGACCTGACCGAAAGAACCAAAGAAGATGACATTACATTCAGTTAAAAAAATTAATATTGGCAATGGGAGTGTTGCTCTTCCATCCAGTCTCCGTGCGCATCGTCTCTCTCCCCGTTCCACAGTGGCCTTGCCTACGAGGTGATCGTCATCGACGATGGAAGTCCGGACGGAACATTGAAGGTGGCGCGGCAGCTCCAGGACATCTACGGAGCCCACAAAATTGTGAGCGCCGCGTTCCTCTTTAAAAAAAACTATAAACTCTAAAACTCTAAAGATTTTTATTTTTAGCAGGTAAGGCCCCCGCCGAGCTGTTTTAGCCCTTTTTCAGAAGCGACCTGGCCACAAATGGTAGCTCGCCGAAGTGGCTTATCACGTGGAAATTTATAGCAGCCAAATGCTCTTAAACGCATTATGTTGGTCCTAAATGTGGCGGGCGAAAACCGGAGGACCCGGAGAAAAATCCACGCGACCACGTGGAGAACACACAAACTCCAAATATACAGCAGCAGGCGTCTGGGTCGGGATCAGACCCACGATCTCCTGTATACCAGGCGAGGTAGTCAACATCTCACCACCATAGCGCGCCCCTCTTTGACCCAGCCCAACTCTGTAAACAATGAGAAGCAGCTCATAGGAGAGAACCCTGACCCCTCCCTTGCACCAGACACAAGGCAACAGCAGTATGCCGAGGATGGCTGTACTCTAATGATGATTCCCAACAAATTTAACGTGGCCACAATTTAGCTATGCTTGAGCCTTTGAGGCCAACCTTGAACAATAGAGGCAGGAGGTCGCCCAGCACGGAAGCCGCGGGAAAGGAAGTTTTGGACAAAAGGGGGTAGCAAAGGTGATCGAGCGACCTCCCCCACTGAGTCAGCGTTGTCTGGGGGCTTCGGTAGAAAGCTTTGATTGCGAGAGGGGGCGAGTGGTTGCGGAGCCATGAAAGTGAAATGGAGGTGGTCTCCGGTTCACGACGGTCCGATTTACAACGATTCGCGTTCACGACGTTCATATAACGCCACCGTCGATCGATTTGCGACGCAGGAACTTGATTTACGACGCATCTCCCGATGTGACCCTCGCCATGACAAGCGGACTGAGAAACGAAGCGCCTTCCGACGGGACTCCAAACGCACTTGAACACAGTCTGGTTTCCGATGCTACTTGGCGTAGAGCCTTTGTTATTCTCGAGTGTTTTTTTGCGGATATCTATCCTTATACCTGGTTAAATGCGGCCGGCAAGCGATGTCTCGACTGTTTCTACCGTCTATGAGAAAACAGGGGTCCGCTTTACGATGATCCGTTACACGGCGACGGGGTTTCCGGGAACGCACTGTAACGTCGTAAAAGCGGGGACCGCCTGTATTCCTTGAAATTGACTTTGAGATTTCCCCTAAAGAATCAGCTGACGGCGATATCAATCAACAGAGCCACCCAGACTAGGCCATAAAGAAGGCCGTCTCTGGTGTAGACCAGTCAGTTTCAAAGACAATGCATATATGATGTTATCAGAGCACGTGTGTTTGCATGTTCACCACAAGTACCGTGTGTGGTTAATCCAGTCATTTGATTCCTTGCAACAAAAGGTTTCTATTTGGGGTTTGAACATCTTACGACCTGCTTTATTGTCAGAAAGGGTAAAACCTATTCCTATTTTTTCATCATCTTGGATACCGGCAAAAAAAAGGTCCCATGATATATCCGCTCACCCCGAGCGATGAATGCTTCGATACGTGCATTGTCTTTGTAGTGTTCACCTTTTGGCGTTCTCTGGTCTGCCACTGGTGAGACTGGGCCATTAAGAAGGCTGTCTCTGGTCTAGGCAAATCAGTTTAAAAGACAATGCCATATCAGAGCATGTTTGTTTGTTCACCACTAGTACGTGTGGTTAATGCGGACATGATTCCTTGCAAAAGGTTTACATTCGGTGTTTGAACATCTTAACACCTGTTTTATTGCCGGAAAGGGTAAAACCTATTCTTATTTTTCATACATCGATGCTGGCAAAGAGATGGTCCCATGGTAGAGCCTCCCAGTCGGCACCTCTTGATGTGTTTCATCCTTTGTCTCTCTCTTCCTCCAGGTGTTGAAGCCAAGAGAACGGAAGCTGGGATTGGGTGAGATTTTCTATCTTCGTTAAGAGGCGACAGGGAACCGGTTTCGTTTCCATACCGTGTCAACCCACACGGTTTACCCCGTATTCTTGTACAGAGAAATTGAGTTTTCAGGTCATGACAATGTAAGATCGGTGAGCGGCATCCACGGCAAGCGTGCTGAGGTGGCTATGTTAATGTGCGAGATGAGCATGTTAATGTGAGAGATTAGCATGTTAATGTGAGAGATTAGCGTGTTAATGTGAGAGATTAGCATGTTAATGTGAGAGATTAGCGTGTTAATGTGAGAGATTAGCGTGTTAATGTGAGAGATTAGCGTGTTAATGTGAGAGATGAGCATGTTAATGTGAGAGATTAGCGTGTTAATGTGAGAGATTAGTGTGTTAATGTGAGAGATTAGCGTGTTAATGTGAGAGATTAACATGTTAATGTGCGAGATGAGCGTGTTAATGTGTGAGATGAGCGTGTTAATGTGAGAGATTAGCGTGTTAATGTGAGAGATGAGTGTGTTAATGTGAGAGATTAGCATGTTAATGTGAGAGATTAGCATGTTAATGTGAGAGATTAGCGTGTTAATGTGTGAGATTAGCGTGTTAATGTGAGAGATTAGCATGTTAATGTGAGAGATTAGCATGTTAACCTGAGAGATTATCATGTTAATGTGAGAGATGAGCGTGTTAATGTGCGAGATTAGCGTGTTAATGTGAGAGATTAGCATGAGAAATTTAACCTGTTCATGTAAGATCGCGGTCACTGCCCACCACTAACATTGCTGCTGACATTTGGGCTACGCTCATTTCAAAACCTTTATAAACAGTCTGCCTTTAGAAGCAAACCCCCTTTTCCTGATGACGTGTTGCGATCCAAAACGTCGTAGTTTTTTCTTATTTTCTTTGAACCTACCTACGTGACTTTACCGAAAGACCCAAAGAACATTCGTTTGCGTTTCTCCCTTGTGATTGGGACTGTCGGTAATAAGATAGGCACTGGTAAGAGGTTGGCGGGAATGCTTTTCGATCAACCGAAGGTGAAAAAAAAACAAATATATCATCAGTCGAATCAACAAAAACGTTACAAAACGATTTGAAAGAAATCGCAAAAGGGAATCGGCAAGGGACATCATCTCCACCGCTCGTCTCAACCACCCATCCTTTCTAGCCATGACATCATGTCCTGCCCAAGCCACACTTTCCTTAACAGTCGTACGCACGTACGTTGAACTTCTTTCGCACCGTACGTAGCCAACCGTGCTGATCGGAGGTTACGGGGGAAGGGCAACAACGAACACCGAAAAACTATCCTAAAGAAATTAGTTCTCAATCTAGATTTAAAAGTGCGTGGCTTCCTAATGGCTCCAGTGGCTTCTTGGGCACATATGTATGTTGAACTTCTTTCGCACCGTACGTAGCCAACCGTGTTAATCGGAGGTGCGGGTGAAGGACAACTAAACCAAACAACAAAAAGCGGTTCTAAAGAAATGAGTGTTGTCATACTCGACGATGACTTAAAAGTGCATAGCTCCCGGTGACTTCCTAATATCAGAAGGAAGAGCGTTCCAGACAGCCGCAGAAGCGCGTCTGAAAGTGCCCTACGTAGTGTGACACGTCTTTGTTCGATGTCTAGCCAAAAGCCGCCGCTGCGAGGCTCAGCAAGGTACCTTTGACGAGATGGGCGTGTTTGAGACGCGTCTCCAACCTGCGTATATGTTCTCGAATCCGTGTGTTGCTCTGGCCCGTGAACGATACTTGATGGTGTTGCGTTTACATGCAGGCACTGCGTATATACATGGCATGAAGTACGCCAAGGGAGAGTTCATCGTCATTATGGATGCCGACCTGTCGCACCACGTAAGTGCTTGATTGTTCATTCACCCACCCATTCTTACATTCGTGCGTTCATCAGTTATTGCCCAGCAGCAGTTTGGCGGACAAAATAATGACTACATAACCCCAAAACTCATCTTAACTAAAAAATTTTTTACCCCAACTCTCGTCCTGATTGGTTGGCACACCACATGTCGCAGGATGCCCATTAAGCCGAAAGAGGGCCCAACGGCTCATTGGGCCCTCCGAGCTGAAATCAGTGAAATCTCAAAATGTCAAGTCCGCTGCTGGACGATGGCCTCCTCATGCTGTGCGGCCTCGTCAAGACGTCGTCTGGCCATACTTCACCACGCCGGTCAACGCGGGTCATAGAAGCAGGGGCATAGAGGCGCAACAATGGATGTTGCTGCACTGCCACCCACGGCTACAACATATGCTCCACCAAAGGCAACACTTTGTCATTATAACAACGGGTTGGAACCGGGATATCTGATTATGTAATTAATCGATGACTCCTAATTAATGCTTCGTTTACTCAACTATTCTGGATAGTTGGAGGGGAGGGGGGACGGGACAAAGTATAAGCTCTGTTCTCACGTGTGTCGCTGGACGGGAGGTGGATGGGCAGGGCTTCGTGGCATCGTCAGCCGCTGTCACGTGTGACTTGCGGGGGGGGGGGGGAGGGGGGGGTTTCCCACCATCGGTAGGGAGGACGGACGTGGGGGTTGCTGCGATTTTCTTTAAATATTTTCTGTTTGACCGATTCACCAATCGCCCCACCTGCAGTCAATCAGCTGACGTGATGGTTGCACACACTTTAAACGCACGCGAAAATTCACGGCAAGTCCTCGTATTAACGCGGTAGATGCGTTCCCGAAAAGTGCCCGGAAAAATGAATGCATTCGGCGGACGCGATTTCCCCGTGAATATTGGTTCTTTCGGTAAGGTCACGTATTTTATTGTTTCCCTTCTATGTGACTTTACCGAAAGATACTCTTTGGTTCTATTCGGTAAAGTCACGTAGGTAAAAAATAAAACAACAAAAATCACGACGTTTCGGCCACAACACAAGTGGCCTTCATCAGGTGAAGGGACCAGACTGTCTCGTGGAAAGCGCTGGAGTGAAACACAGCCACGCTCAGACCGCGACCTTTAAGCTGTGTGCGAGGAAACAAGGTGCCTTGACAAAGGAATTAGCATAAAAATTAGCATTTGATTGGCCGACTTAGCATAGAGGTGGTGTACATGCGGGTGCACATGCCGGTTGGCGAGGGGGAGTTTCCCTATTGATGGTGTGAAAAGGGAATTTTAAGAGCTGCGAAAGTTTGGGGTACCACTACTTGAAAAAATATACTGTACCGTTGAAAATTAGTTTAATGTTTGGTTCGATTTAGAACATCTTTCCAATGGTTGCTTAATTTGAAACCATCTTCTCGGTTGAAATTGTGTCTGTGTTTGTAGATCTGAATTGCCTCGTGAACAAATCTCTAATGATACAGTGACGCCGCCGCGTCACTGTATCATTCCACGTTACTGTATCACTCCGCTCAGCTGCGCACCTCAAATAAATAGTTAATCGTCGACCGCTCAGAAACCATGTTGTAACGGCGTGCGTTCCGCGTGATGACACGCGCATCTTCCACGTTATAACATTGTGCGTTATAGCAGGCGCGGTTTCCCGCGGCATGATGGTTGCGTGTTTTCGCATTATAACGGTGCGCATTCTGTGTTTTGCAAAAAGTTTTCCCTAATGTAAGAACCGCGAACCGCTTAATAGCGAAAACTCTGCATGGTGCGAATACCGCGTGTTAAGCGTGGACTTGCTGCGCGTTCGCAAATGTGGGACTGCCGATCACCGACGGCCCTGCGGCAGTTCATCCAATCGCAGGGAATCGCGTAAATATTGGTGTGTCATTAAACTCGCCACCACCCGCAACATTTACAAACAATTGTGAATGTTGTGGGTTTACTCTCCAACACACCGGTGTGCTGTACTCGTAACGAATTGGCCACGTCTTGATTACGTGACAAACCTCGCTAATTGGCTGTGTCGAGTGGTGGCGGGTTTTACGACACATTTATATATGTTCACGCGATCAAATCCAAAAACCTCCTATGGATAATATTGGTCGTGAGAGCCTACTGCGTGTTAAACTGGGTCATGTTCGTACGTGTGTGCGCGGGCAAGTGTGCATTGGTGCGCGTGCGTTTGCACACGTGATGATGCGTCTGTCTCATGCCGTCCCGCCCTTTCACAGCCAAAGTTCATCCCCGAGTTCTTAAGGTGAGAAATTGCAAATGTACGGGCGCAGTGGGTCAAATTCGCGTAATAAAACCAAGTAATAGTCCTGCCAACTTGCAGCAGCAGCAGCAGCAACTGTAGAGGAGCGGGTTTGGGGGGGCAATGATTGGTATTTATAATCAAATTGATGTCCTTTGCGATGTCGTTGTTTTTTTTTAAATTGTCAAATATTCAGACCGTGATGCCGGCACCAAAACAGCGGCCCGCTCTTGCCAGCGGCGTCGCCGCGGGATCTTTAGCGTCCACTGTGAAGCGGACGGCATGCGCGTATTTTACAGTTAATACACCGCACCATCAGCGTATTCATCTCGGGGTGGCCTCTGGTTCCGAACCGTGAACCTCTGCAGCAAAGCAGGGGAGGAGGGGGGGGGGATGGAACCTTGGGCCGTGTCACCGGCTCCACGATAAACTCCGTAGGTAATTGGGTAATTAACCACCATAGCACCTCGCCCCGCTGCGCGTATCGCTGCCAGTTACGTCCCCAAGTTAGAAGTGGCTTTGTCCGAGGCTGCTCCGGCGTTTCGTGCAACGGCGAACGAGACGCCGCTGGTAAAACGTTGGCGCTGCACGACGTTCCTGGCTAGACGAGCGTACGACAACACAAAAAAACAATCGCAGTGAATCCTGCAGCTGATGGTGACGGCGATGATGAGAACGCAAGGGGCGCTTACTTGTGTTGGCTCTCAGCTGTGAAGCCAGTTATTCGTAACTTTAGAGGGAAGCCCAATCCTACAGACCGGGGCTCAGTCCCATTCTCTCAGCTATTCTCTCCCCTTAGTGGTTCCTTGCCTCTCTCTCTCTCCTCTGTTGGCCACTGTCAACACTCAAGCGGACACCTGACACTTGCTCACCCCGACGGTGCAAGAGGCGATGGTCTGAAGAGCACGCACGCACGCACGCACGTGTGAATTGCAGGAAACAGAAGGAAGGGAATTACGACATCGTGTCTGGAACTCGTTACCTGGAAGGGGGAGGAGTTCACGGCTGGGACCTCCAGAGAAAAGTCGTGAGGTGGGTTACACGCGGCCGCGGTGGCGAGATGTTAACTACCTCACCTCGCATGCAAGAGGTCGCGTGCGTTCGATCCCAACCCCGACTCCCGCATATTTGGAGTTCTCCCCCGTGGTCGCGTAGATTATTCTCCGGGCCCTCCACATTTGGAAACATGCGTTGAGAGCATGTGGCCGCTATAAGTTTCCACATGATGCGAAGCCACTTTGTTGAGCTGTCACCTGTGCCCAGGTCGTTTCTGAAAAGGAGCTACGTAGCTCAGTGGGGCCTTACCTGCTCAGAATAAAAAAAAATAGTTTAGTTTACAAGCTGGCAACACGGCCTGTTAACGGAGCCTCCACGTTGTATTGCCAGTTTTTGTTATTGGTATCTTGTAGCCTGTTTTTATTCCAATTGTGCCTATGGCCAAATTACCCGGAGTGCACCACATCTCAGAAGCTAAGCAGGATCGATCTTGGCGAGGGCTTAAAATGATAATTTCATTTTATATAGCGTCATTCCTGCTAATTCCATCCCACAACGCTGTATATTAATTACATGACGTGGGCCAAATCCTATTTATAGCAACTACCAATCAAATTAACACGCTCATAAAATACAAACTTGAATAAACAAATCAGGAAATGGCACCAAATCAAAAGGCACAAACAACGCACCAAAAAAAAGGTCATCGCAGCAGAGAAATGAGTCCAGTAATTCTCGCATCCCAGACGGAACTCCCAACTTCTCACGCAAGACAGGAAACCTTCATGGGAGACGCAGGTAGAGTGGCCAAACATTAGAGCAACCGCTGTGGGCGAGCACCGCGCGTAACAGGTGCTATAGGCTGCCGCGGGGGCTGTCCCATGTGGTGGCCAGCAGAGGATAGTGCAGCAAAGTCCATCCTTGACTCGGCCAGTCATCATCAACTCATTATTACTGGCCGAGACTAACTCGAGAATCCATTGAAATTGAGAGACATACAAATAATTGTAACCGCCCTGACAGCTACAGGCTTTGTGCGGCCTTGAAGGGTATTATTAAGGAATACATCTTCCAATTGCTTTCCTTATAGGGGAAACACATGCTAATTAGCTGATTACTAATCGATTATATAATTACAATACCCCCCTCCTCCACCTCCGATCTCTGCACCTGATTGGGTTCAGTGATGACGTCGTCCTGCTGCTATGTTTAAGACCGGAAGCAGGTGGATTGCCTCACTATTCTGGCAAATCGCCCGATGTTGCTGCATGCAATTACCAGCGAAACGTCGGGACTAAAATCGTAAATGTTGTCGAATTACTCTCCAACACACCGGTGGGCTGAAGTAGCTAGCTAACTCGCGCGTTGTTTACGTGACGAACCTTACTGGCTGTGTCGGTTGGTGGAGGGCTACGACACAACATTCATACTTACGCAATCTAACCCGATAAGCCTTTATTATGAATCGTCGTCTGCCTGTGGTCTGTAAAATAAGCAACCACCGTGCCGGCGATTTCTTAGAACGCGTGCGACCGCCATTGCTGACCTATCCCGCGAATGACAGCACACCAACACTCTTTGGTTCTATTCGGTAAAGTCACGTAGTAGGTAAAAAAATAAAACAACAAAAATCACGACGTTTCGGCCACAACACAAGCGGCCTTCATCAGGTGAAGGGACCGGGCTGTCTCGAGGACGTTCGTGGGTGGGGTGGGTGGGTGGGTGGGGGATGCGTTCCTGAAACACGTGACGACGAACGTCGAAGTGATCGACAGGGAAGGGCTGGCGGCGGCGGCGGCGACGCTGACGGGTAACGAGAGAGAGGAGACGGACGGATGCCGCCGGCGGCGTGGTGCGCCTGTCGGGGGTTGGAGGCGACGCTAACCGCGAGGCGGCGTCCGCAGCGGAAGGACGACGAAATTTGCGGGCCGACGTACGAGTGGGGAGCAGACGTACGCCGGGGTATTGCTGTGCTGCAGAATCAGAATCGGAATCAGAAACGTCGTGAGAATTTTGATCGTGTTATTTTATTATCTTATTCTCATTCTACGTGACTTTACCGAAAGAACCAAAGGAGATAGAATCTTTTAATTACGCTGGTGGGAAACCGATGAGCTATCAAGCAGAAAGTTTCCTTGCGTGCTCCCTCCCCCCGCCTTCAATAACCCACGCTGCCCGGCGTGCTGAAGTACGGTCAAACGAACGGGGGAGGCCTTCATCCAGCGGTGGACCGACAGCAGGAGCCTGCACGTGCGGACGAACAGTGCTGGAGCCTTCGAAGTAATTCTGTTTTCTCCGGCCCCTTGCTTGGATAACGTCGGGTTGCCAACGTTTGTGCGACGTTTGACTTTTTCCAGCCGGGGCGCCAACTTCTTGGCTCAGCTGCTGCTCAATCCCGGAGCGTCGGACCTGACGGGAAGCTTTAGGTACGCGGCAGGGGTGGTGTTGGGGGGGGGGGGCAGGGGTCAGGGGTCAGATGTCTCTACCATTGGGCTGCTTCTCACCGTGTCGCCCCTCATTGAGGAGGGGCGACACGGTGGCGAGATGTTAACTACTTCGCCTGGTATACAGGAGGTTGCGGGCGACTTCGATACCGACGCCCGTTGTATATTTGGAGTTTGCATGTTTGCGTGTCTCTCTCCCCGTGGCCGCGTGTTTTTTTTTTCTCTCTCCGGGTCCTCCGGTTTTCCCCCTCCAAAATTAGAATCCACATGGCGCGGTTTCGAGTATTTGGTGGGGCGGGGGCGTAAGTCTAGAAGCCCCCAAAGCATGCGTCGATTCTCGCACGCGTGATCAATTAGCAGCGACGCGCACTTCTGGCCCAACGCCACCGTCTGGCCTCATGGGATACCGGTTGGCTGCGGTTAAAAATCAATTGTTGCGCTGTACTTCTGCGGTCCCGCATCTCTGTTCCACCCCCCCCCCCCCCCCCCCCCCGCCGCCTTCACCAACCCTCGTGGTGCAGTACGGTCAAGTAAACCCCGATTATTTGCACTGCGCCTGGAGGCCCTCATCTAGCAGTGGATTGACAAACAGGCTGTGCGTGCGAGTTTTATAAAGCTACCTGCTCGGTGTGCCTCAAGGTACAGGCCAGGCTTCTCGCAGCCTTGTGTGTGCATCTTCCATCACCTCTTCGACCACCTCCTCTGTGCTCCTCTCTGATCTCCCCTTCAAATCCCCCCCCCCACCGAGAACAATCGCTGTTCACCACTAAGCGACGGTGACGTCACCACGGTACGGTGCACTTTAAGGCGACCACGTGAAGTGTCGAAAGCTCGCTGCTGGCAGGAGGCCAAGGGACACAGACCCAGGTGCCGTGGGTCGACTGGCTGACCACCAACGGAGGGAGCTTGATTGTAACGCTCCCGCGCTCTGCTCCTTTGGAGCTGTGGTTGTGCAGTTGCCGATTACAAAATCGGGCACTGAACCTGACTGATTAATTAAACCCAAGTTTATTTTTCAATTACAAATCACTGTGCCAACTACCTGCGTTTTACCCGCCCGACGCTCCGCTCGTTGCAAGCGTCGCTCCTCCGCCCTCCGTTGTTCCTGGAGGGCGACTGCCTCCCAACTCCCCAGAAGCGTCCTTCACAAGCCTCCTCCAGAGACAAATATTTCCCAGTTAGCCTTTAACAGACTTGTCAGCGCAGGTGCTGTTAGCGAGCACCTATGAAGGTCGCCACTGCACACGAGGGGGTGGGTGGTCAACACCAGGCCCGGCCCCCTTTCTCCCCCAAGTGGCGAGGTGCTCATTTGAAGCCGATTCGACCTAGGGGAGGCCCAGGATCGCTTTGACTCCTGACCACCACCTCCTCTCACATTCGAGATTCCTCCTCCTCCAGCACCACCTCATCCTTCCCTCTCTCCTCCCTTCCCCCTTCCTAGCCCCACCTTCTCCCACGTGTAACTTCTACTCCTTGCCCCCCCTTGGTAGACTTTTCTCCAGTAACCCTCCTCCACTTCGTACGAACCTCTCCCCTTCACCCACCACCTCCTCCAGGCTGTACCGCAAGGAGGCGCTGCAGAGGCTGATGGACGTGTGCGTGTCCAAGGGCTACGTGTTCCAGATGGAGATGATCGTCCGCGCTCGCCAACTCGGCCTCTCCGTTGGAGAGGTGGGTTCTGTGATAGGATGGTTCTGTGGTGAGTGGGTTCTGTGGTGAGTGGGTTCTGTGGTGAGTTCTGTGGTGAGTGGGTTCTGTGGTGAGTGGGTTCTGTGGTGAGTGGGTTCTGCGGTGAGTGGGTTATGCGGTGAGTGGGTTATGCGGTGTCTGCCGCGATGGACAGATCTCCAGTGCGACGGGTTGCGCCGTTCTCTGGAGAGCGAACAGTTTTGTCTTTCTTAACCCAACACCGATATCACAGTCGGGATGACAGCGTAAAGCATTGGGAAGAAAGTATACCAAACAAAATCGTCAAACAGGCGGTCCCCACTTTTCACATTACAAGCTACAACGCGTTCCTGGAATCCCCCGTCGTAAATCAAGCCCTATTTTCTCCATGGATGGCACAAACAGTATAAACGTCCCTTTAGCGATGTGCTTTTTCTTTTCATCAGCCGTATTTAACAGGATTTAACCGATAAAAAAATCCACAGAAACACTCGAGAATAACAAAACCTCCACGCCAAGTCACATCGCAAACCAGACCGATTCAGTTCAAATCCATTCGGAGTCGGAAGATGCGTCGTGTATCAACTTTCTGCGTCGTCATTCGATGCATGGTGGCGTTATATATCAAAGTTGTAAATGTGGATCGTGGCCAATTGGATCATCGTAAACTGGAGAGCACCTTGGTACATGGGGTTTTACTGGTAGGAACCTGGTTGGATGGGGAGGGGCTGGTCATCCTGTGGTGCCCTTATAAAACTCAACGTTTAACCTACTCAAGCCGGCTTGTGCCCGCCCTCACAGTCGGGCATATTGTGCGGAATACACCACGTGGTGCCACCGTTGACCCTGGCCATTGACCGAGCAACCCAACGTTCCTACCAGCTCCCTCCGCAGGAATGTGTTTGTTTTATCTTGACCACACTTTTCCCTCCGCAGGTGCCCATCACGTTCGTGGACCGGCTGTACGGGGAGTCGAAGCTGGGAGGCAACGAGATCGTGTCGTACCTGCAGGGCCTCTACACGCTCTTCAGCACTGTGTGACCCAGCCCCACGTGACCCAGCCCCACGTGACCCAGCCCCATGTGACCCAGCCTCAGGCTGTCAGGGGAGGGCGACCCAAGTACAAAGCCACTGGACCCATGCACTTTTTAATCATCTAGATTGAAAACTAGATTTGACTAAGTACGGTGCGACAGAAGTTAAACATACGTACAATGAAGTTACAACACTTGAGTCTGTCCTAGGCCCATTTCTCGTTAAACACTGAAAGTAAAAATTCGTACAAGGCACGGTGACAATGCAAAGCCTCTTATTGGCGAGAAGCTTTGTTAGAAGTTATTTTTCTACAATTGTACTTGTGACTACGGCATTGGCCATTTATCGGTACGCTGTAAAAAAAAAAATAGGGAGACATTTCACGTAATGTACGTATGTGCGTCGAACTTCTTTTGCATCGTACGTAGCGCTAATCGGACGTGCGGGGGAAGGACAAACAAACTAAACACAAAAATGAAGTTCTAAAGAAATTAGTTTGTCAATCGAGATGATTTAAAAGTGAATAGCTCCGGCAGCTTCCTAATATTGGAAGAGCATTCCAGACGGCCGCAGAAGCGCATCTTTAAGCGCGCGATGCGGTAACGGTCTTTTGTCCGGTGGCCGAGCCGAAATAATAAACCCGTTCTCTATTGCCATGCACCGCTTGTGTAAAAATCCCACTTGAAGTCGGAGCGTGCTAAGATAGCTAGAACAAGAGCCAATTCGTCACTCAGGACACACGGCCCTGAGGACTTTTGACGACCCGTGTTGAGCTCCCAAGACGTGGTGTGGTCGAGGCTGAAAGGGCTCGCGACAGGGCCAGCGAATCCTGACGGAGCGCGCATATAGCCCCTACCCCAGAGTCAAACTCCTGCCCGGCAATATAATATCGTCGTTCGTGAGCTCAAGTGAAAGTGCGCGGAGAAAACCGATGTTGGGTGAATATTTCGATAGCGGCACGACGCTGTTGCTTCTGAAGAGAGGAGTCGCGCTTGCGCCAAGAAAAGTTCTGCAACGTCCATCTCACGAGCGGCGGATTTTAATATTTCGGTAAAACTGCCGTTGTGAATATACAGACGATGACGACGAAAAAGTGAATAATGGTGATGATGGTTTGCATCGCTACTGCGGCCACTGGAGGCGCTGCCATCCCCCGTGTAAAAAAAAAACAACAACACTAAATCTTGGACCATAACTAAATAACGACAATTGATCAAATTGTCGAGAAGGTGAAACGCCACACTCCCAGTGTTGTAATGGTGGTGATAGTGGCGATGCTGATCATGATGGGTATGATGTTGATAATTATGGTGGTGATGATGGATGTTGAACTTCTTTCGCACCGTACGTAGCCAACCAACCGTGCTAATCGGAAGGTGCGGGGGGGGGGGGGGGGGGGGGGGGGGGGAAGGACAATAAACTAATGATGGTGCTGGCGATTCTTATCATGATGAAGGTGGTGACGGCATGAATGATCTTAATAATGGTGGTGGTGATAGTGATAATATTGATGACTGCTTGCGGCGGCAATCGCAAACACGGTGGCGAGATCTTGCGGGCAGCGCATCACGACGAACCGCACGGTTCCACTCTTGCCGTGGTTCCCCTCGCGACGCCAAGTGGCCTCGACGCCGATGACGATGAAGACAAACGCAAGCCAACAAAAGCCGGCCGAGCAAGGGAGGCCTGCGCTGTCATTGCCTTCGGGAGATTCGGACGTGCAGAGAAACCGCGGGCACGGAAACTCGCGAAGGGAGAGAGGGGGGGGGGCCCCCCCGGGGGCCCCCCCCCCTGCTCTTTGGGCGTGCGAGGCCACGCACACTCACGCCGTCGCCGCACGCCCTTCCGTAACAGCAACAACAACGACGGAACGTTTTATGTTTAGCAAGCGATTCGATCTCGACATTGCTCGAAGACTGTAACACGTCCGAGCCACTGGTGTTCGGCAAGCCGTGTGGGTTCTGAGCGAGTGAATCGATGGATGAGTGGGTAGCGGGTGATTGGGTGAGCGAGTCGGTGAGTGGGCGAGCGTGTAAACTGGCCTTTACCCATGGCCTAGTTCTGGCCGTGTACCCTGCATGTTCTGTTTATTTCCTGGCTTTTCATACACGGTGCCACATTGGTGGAATCTACTGATGAAATGCGTGATAATTCATATTTCGGCTCTTTAAGCATATCCTTATGTGCAAGAAACTTTATCCGTCCTTCAGTCCGACCAGCCAGTCAGAAAATCGCCATCTCTGAACTATCCATTTCTCTCGGCCGATGGCAGATGTGGATGATACCGGATGCACTGTGCGACTGTGGTCGTCCATAACGGACCACACGACGTATAACGATGCAATGCGCGATCCACAAATGCGAAGGAGACATCGCAGTGATGATGCACCACTCCGCTGCTCCCGACGCGGTTGCCTGGTTCGACCACCTGAATGTGACAGTCGTTTTTGCTCTGCATCTACATCAGCGGCCGTACGAGAGAATGAAGACTTGTCTCGTCCCATGAAAAGGGGCCGCTGCCCGTGATATAGTTTTTTTTTCCTCTTAAGGCCGCACAGTGTTGTGATCGACGAGTGCCAAGGCAGCGCCGGGTGATTTTTGTTCGCAGCGTCGGGCGTCGTTTCCCGGTTCGTCGACCGTCAGGAAGTTTCGCGTCTTCCCGTCGCCGTCGTCGCCGCCGTCGCCGTCGCCGTCGCCGCCGTCGCCGTCGCCGCCACCGTAGCCGCCTCCTTTCGCATCGTCGCCGTCGCCGCCGGGACGGGCGTGGCGGCCGAGACGACGAAGCGCTCCGTGCGGAACGCGGGCGCCGCGCGGAACGTCGGGCGGCACTCCGAGTCCACGGGAGGCCGCTTGGTCCCCTGGCGGCGGGAGGAGGAGGGGGGGGCGGAGCGGAGACGGCGGTCGGAGCGGAACGCCGCCGCGGCGGCCCCACGCCGGTTCCACCGTCGCCGCTCGCCGAGCCAGGAGGGCCTCCTCGGCGAGTCTCGGCTCACCTCGGCTCACCTCGGCGAGTCTCGGCTCACCTCGGCGAGTCTCGGCTCACCTCGGCTCACCTCGGCAGGAGTTTTCGCGACAAAGTTGTCGCGGTGGGTGTGTGCGATGACGCCGCCGCCGCTGATGCCAATTGAGTAATTTTCAGAAAAGGTTTGACCCTTTCTGGCAATAAAACAGCCGTGTCAAGATGTTAAAACACCAAACTGAAACCTTTTGCAACGAATCGTGTCTGCATTAACCACACACAGTGCTTGTGGTGAACATGAAAAGAAACAAGCACGCTATTGGAGTACATGATGCATTGTCTTTGGCACTGATTGGTCCACACCAGAGGCAGCTTTCTTTAGAGCCTAGTCTCACTAACAGTGTTAGACCAGAGGACGCCAAAAGGCGAACAGCACAAAGACAATTCCACTATCAGGACATTGAGAGCTCGGAGTGAGCAGCTACACCATGGGACATTGCCAGTATCAACATATACGAATAGGTTTTACCCTTGCTGGCAATAAAACGGTTGTGTTAAGATGTTAAAACAATGCCTATACTACCACGGCATGGTTTTTGGTTTGCATGTTCACCGCAAAGTACTGTGTGTGGTTAATGCAGTGCTTGATTGCTTGCAACAGAAGGTTTCCGTTTCTTGTTTGAACATCTTAGCACAACTCCTTTTATTGCCAGAAAGGGCAAAAACCTATTCTTATACGGTTTTATTGTAAATGTTTTTGCTACAAAGGACTAAGAGGTGTCCGGCGATCGCGATGTCGCCCTCATTCCGCTCCCGTGTCCGAGACGTCCGCAAGTAGCAGGACGCCGTCCCCTGCCCCCCGCCCCCCCCCCCACGTTCACCGCCGGACCTCGGGAACGCGCGAGCGGCCCGGAGTAAAATGTTTGTTTTTAATTTTTGATTTAAAGCTTTCGTGACTGCAGTAATTCATATTCTTAGTTTTTTCGGTAAAGTCACGTTGAAGAGAAACAAGAAAATAATTATAAAAACGTTGGCGTCACGCGCAGCTGAAATAAATGCGCCGTTTAAAAATAAATTTATGCAAACCAACACACCTGAAGATGACCGTTTGAGTTATGGTCGAAACGTCGTGAGAATTTTTTTTTATTGTTTTATATATATTTTATTATTTTCTTGTTTCTCTTCAACGTGACTTTACCGAAAAAACTAAGAATATGTTTGTTTTTATAAAGGCATCGTCACTCGCCGCAGAGAGCCGCGGCTCTCAACGACAGCCGGCGCCAATCCGTGCCAAGCGCCCCCCCTGCGCGTCGTGGGAACGGGAAAGGGTCGACAAGGGTGAAGCTGCTTGATGTACACGAGGATCAGCTTTACGCGAGTCGCAGAACCTCGGATGATGACCGACGTCCCGTGGGGCGGTGGCTGTGAGTCTGACCGAGGCGAGCTGCGACAGGAGCCGACGGATCCTCGCCGGGAAAGGTCGCCGCGTGAGGTCTCTCTCCGCGCGGTTCAGCTGCTCCTCCAGGTACGAGACGCCCGCCTGCAGCGTCCGCACGAAGCCCTGCACGGACAAAGGCCCCCCCCCCCGCCCCCGTGTGGCCTTAGCAGACTGCTGGGGCGAGTGCTCTTCGGCGAGCGGCAAATCCACGAAGGCCGGCACGGCAGCGCACGACGGAGCGGGCGGGCGGGCGGGCGGGCGACACCACGCCCGCCCTGAGCGGGCCAGGTACTCTCTGCGAGTCAACCCAGGGGAAGCCCAGGGACTTCTTCAAATAATCATCACCAGTGCTGGTGGCCGCGAGCGGGATTCGAACCCGGGTCGCCGGCTTCGTAGCGCAGCGCACCCGGCCAAACAAAGGACGCTCGCACAAAGACGAAGGTCCCCCGCGCAGCCTTAAAATGCTTCTTGGGGCAAGTGCTGTTAGCGAGCGGCACCTATGAAGGCCCGACGGAGCTGACGAGGGGGCAGGTGGCCAGCACCACGCCCTGCCGCCTTTGTCTCCCCAGTGGCGATGCCTACCGCACCGCGTGCTACTCGTGTAAAGCCGAGAACCGGTTGGGACACCCAAAGTGTCGGCAAGCAACCGGTGAAGACCTGAAGCCAGGCGGCGGAGGTGACGAGAACCGCAAGAGCGGTTTTCGTCCAGGCCCCGTGGACCGCGCGGTGAGGCGAGCGGGGACCCTGCCCGTGTCGGATTACCACCGCGCGTTGCCAACAGCCGCCGAATCTGGCGGAAGGAAGGGAGCGACGGCGAGCTGCGCCCATGGGCGGGATCTGGCCGTGGACCCGTCGCGTAGCCGGGAGGGCGGCTCGAGGCGGGGAGCGACCGCCCGTGGCGGAGACGGAGCGGGTTGGGGAGCGGCACCTCGAGCTGCTCGACGCGGGCGAACACGTGCCGCACGCCCGGCACGAGGGCGTGGAGACGGGGCAGGGCGTCGTCCCGGACGCTGTGCGTGTCTCTCCTCACCTGGCACACGCACGCGGTTACAGCTGTGGTGTGCGTGGGGCTGGTGGGGGTTGTGGTGTGAGTGGGGCTGGTGGGGGTTGTGGTGTGCGTGGGGCTGGTGGGGGTTGTGGTGTGAGTGGGGCTGGTGGGGGTTGTGGTGTGGGTGGTGCTGGTGGGGGTTGTGGTGTGGGTGGTGCTGGTGGGGGTTGTGGTGTGGGTGGCTCTGGTAGCGGTTGTGGTGTGGGTGGGGCT